AGGGCTCTCAGTCCTTGTGCCAATCCAAGGCCCCCACCACCTGCCCTTCCAACCCATCCAGCCTCTTCTCTGAACTGTCCAGCCTGACATCACCTCCCTTGCTGCTCCTCATAGCCACCTCTGGGCCATTGGGCAGCTACTACATGCTCAGGATGAAAAGCTCAGCACCCACACTGCCTTCCTGGGGAGCCTGGGCCAAGATCCCCTGCACAAAAGCCCCAACTCTTACACTGGGCCACTCAGAACGGAGCTTTAGGTCCCAGTCCAGAGCTTCCTCTGGGTCCTGAGCCATGCTGGTTCCTCCAAAGACCTTCAGTATTACTTCAGAGCCTTTTTCTATTCTTTTACTTGCCACTAAGGGTGTGGTCTGGAGCACCAGCCCTGTATCACAGTCCTGGAAAAAAGCCAACAGAATCTCCAGGCAAGGCTTCACAGATAATTGCCATGTGCTGATGTGCCCAGCTGAGGACAAACTTGCCCTGGAAGGCAGGGACCACCTTCTTTGACCCTGCACAGTACCCAGCATCCGTTGGTTAGCAGGTAAACATGTCACATGGGTGGAAAGTGAGTGTTTGCTTTGCACGAAGCACTCTGCTAGGCCCTCAGCAAGTATTTTCATTTGACTTTTACAGTTCATCTTTCAAAAGAGCCGAAAACTCCATTTCACAGAGAAGCAATTGGGGTCCAGGAAGGTAATGTGACTTTTCCAAGGTACCCTGGATAAGAAGGAGTGAAAAGTGGACAGGCTGGCATTGGCTGGGCAGACAGAACCTGGCCTCATCCTATGGCCTGTCCCTGCTCATCACCCCACCAGGGCCATGTCACCAAGGGGTGATGAGTGGCCAAGCCATTTACAACATGAAGACACTTTGTGCTGGAGTGAAATGATCCTTTAAAAAGTGATCACCAGCTCCCCTTCATTACCTCCAGAGACCGAGTCCTGGCTGATTTCTTCCCATCTTTATCTCAAGTACATTTAAATGTCAATTAAATTTGAAATATCTACATTTGTCAGCATTTCATTTTGGGCCAGCGTGACGTGCTGCTGATTTGTCCACGCGATGTGACACATGAAAAAAACTCTCGAGATGCAGATCTTCCTCATTAAAAAATAAGCCAGTGCAATCCGGGTGCAGCAGAGAGCACAGAGCGCCTCCCCGCTTCCTGACGCCGTGTCTCTGACATGGTATTTAAAAAGGAACAGCCTCGCCTGTCACCACTGTCACACGCGCGTGCTAACTGGCGACACGTTAAACCAAACATTAGAAAGGGCTCAGGAGTCATCTGCATGGGAACTGTGCGCCAGCGCTGTGGGCAGAGGCGGGAGCAGCTGTGGGGGCTGCTGGGGTCCGAGCGCTGATGGACAGCGGGCTTTTCTTTTGCACTGAGACATCGGCAGCCCTCGCTGGGGAGCCGAGTTCGCCGCGACCTGCCTTTTCACAGAAGCCCTTTGTGTGTAATAAAATCCAGGCAAGTGGTGGGTGGCAGCCTGCGCGGTAGTAGCTGAATTGGGTTAATGAGGAAAGAGGTACACTTTTTTTTTCCATATTCTGCCTTAAGCTAATAAAAAATTTAAACCTGGACGTTTTCAATGGTTCATCCTTTATCTCTGACAAATATCTGACTGTATGTTTCAGGGGGGAACATGAGCAGCTGAATTTAAATAAGTTTATTTTGAAATCTTGCCTTTCATTAAAAGTAGAAGGGGAAATACCCTACCTCTCACTGCATTGTTTCAGATCTGGGAAACTGAAGAGGTAGGAAGACCCCACAGTGGTTTAGAGTCAAGCAAATCCAGATTCACTTCCCAACTCTGCCTTCAGCTGCTGTGTGACTCCAATAAGGAGCTCCCCATCTCTGGGCCTTGACTTCTTTGTCATAAGTAGTTAGTGAAAAATTGTGTGCATAGCATTTGGCTTATGAATTCTTCTAGGGTCAATGTGGTCATCCATGTATCCTGGACATGACAAAGCTCTGACCTTTCCACATCACATGGTCAGGTTCATCCAGGTGCCTTGTTGCTCTTGAGAGAGTAGTCTCCTCCAGAGACACCTTGAGCCACTTGTCAAAGCCACTGCCCCACCAGCCTGGCCCAGCAAGAAAGCCAGCTGCAGGAAGAAGCTGCTTAGTGGGCTGGAAAGCGAGGCTCCCTCTCCTCCTGCTCCTCACTCATACCTGTGCCAGAGACACCAGATCTTGACTATGACCTACACAGCAGCAGCCTGACTTAACAGTGTCACCAAGACCCGTCCAGCACAAAGGACTTTGCTCTTCTGTGAATCCAGAAATTCCTGGCAGGTTTAGTGGCATTCAGCTGACATACCAGTCTGTGATCTGTGCTTTCCTGTCAAAGCCAGAGGAGGGGCCTTGCTCAGGTGGGTGTTAGAAAGGCATTCACAGTGGATTCAAGGGCCACCTGAGAACCTCATTCCATTTGACCCAGAATTACTGGAGATGAAATACTATCTATGAAGCACCAAGATGCCAGCCAGGGAGAACTAACTCTGTCCAGGGAGAAAACTCAGCTGGGAACTCCAGGGAGCTTCCATTTGGGCTGAGTCTTCAAGATGGAAGATCAGTGCACCATGTGGAGACAGAAGGGCCTCGTGACAAAGGGCACATGACTCAGAAATGGGAAGTCAGTTGAAGTATGCTGGGAGGGCAGAGGGGGCCACAGGGATGGGCAGGGCCACATGCACTGACCTCCCCTGCACGGAGCCAGGACTTGGCACTGCCTAAGGCAGCCCTCATCCACATACACCCAGCACCTTCCACAAGCCACCCAGAGTGAGGATGCCTGCTTCCCCCTTCCCCTCACCTGCCCAGGGGCAGTGCCATATGGGGAGAAAGAATGGGTCCCCTAATTTTTAAACAGAGCATCCTGCAAATGTCTGAATATTTTCATTCAATGAATTTACCACATAACTCATTACAGCAAAATTGTAGTTCAGAATGGCAGATTTGCAGGTTTCTGAGAAAGAGAGAGATACAGGGACAGGTCTGCAATTCACAGCGGGGCTCTGGTGACTGAGTGAAGGTGGCCCTTCTGCTATGTGCATTCTCTATGGAGCTGGGGTGCTCCAAGGCTGGCCTGTTCATACTTCTGCCAGCCAGGTCCTCCTCCTGCCCTCTCCACTGAGACCACAGCAAAGCACTCTCCCAGGTGATACCCACTATAGTCTAGGAATGGCCAATGTGTGTCCCATCCCTGTCAGCCATGGAGTGGCCTGGGAGCTTAGGGGAGTCGAACAGTGTGATCTGCCCCTTCCTGGTGTCAGACCCTGGGCTAGTAGCTTCCCTTGTTAAGCCTCAACCTCCACTGCAGTTTAAAGACAAAACTCTACCCAGCCAGCCTGCAGGGGTGATAAGAAGAAATGAGGGCACAGAGCTGAAAGGCTTGGTGGTTTTGAATGACAACCAGATTAGCACCAGCGATGGTGGGTCGCAGCACAGCCCAGTCCCAGCACTCGCCTGGACAGCTACCGCCCCTCCTTTACCCTCCGGCTGTAGTTCTCACATACTTGTCTTAGACAGGTTACCCTTCCTGAAATAAAATCTTAAAGGGACCCATGCCATCATGTAAAGTGCAAGAAGACACTGCTTTGGCTGGAGTGAAGGAAGAGCTGCTCAGCACCCTCTCTCCACGCATCCCAAACTTCACCATCACCTCCCAGGGATCCTCCGAGCAAGCCCAGCCCACAGAGTGGGGCAGACCTGGAACATGGAGCCCCGACACATGGCTAGAGCAGCAGCCATGGCAGGATGGGGTTTGAACCTCGGTCCTCCAGGTCCCGCTCCCCTTTCCCAGCACCCGCCTCTCTTGGGCCTGGTCAGTATATAATTCATAGGAGCCCGGTGTGGCATTTCTCTGGGCTGCGTGTGTGTTTGTTTATAGAGGTAGAGCTCACAGGTGGCTGACAAGGGAGATGTATTTTTTATAACGATGAATATTTAATTTCCACATCACAGATGAAAAAGACTCTCTGAAGAAGCATCCGAGGGAGACTCCAGAGAGCGGCGCTAATCAGAAAAGGGCCTTCTCTAGAGGGCTCTTCCGCATGGCTCACTTTTTTCTTTTCACTTCTTTTTTTATTTTTCACTTTTCCCTGATTATTGAAGTAGATATGCTCATTGTAAAAAAATAAAATAAAATAAGAAGCAGGAGGGGGATCACCCATAATCCCACAAGCTATTATTGACACTTAAGCACTTACCTCTCCAGTCTGTTTTCTGTGCATTTTTCCATAAGGAGATGAGAGAGGACGCAGTACAGCCGTCCCTCGGTGTCCTCTGGGAATTGGTTCCAGATACCAAAACCCAGAGATGCTCAAGTTCCTTAAACGAAATGGCGTAATGTTCACATAGAGCCTGTCCAACCCTCCCCTGTGCTAGAGTATTTACTATATCCAATCTAGTGTAAATGTTAGGCAAGTAGTTGTTACACCATATTGTTTAGGGAATAATATGACAAGAAAAAAAAGTTGTGTATATTCAGTACAGACAGGGTTTTTTGTTTTTTTTTTCCCAAATTCTTGTAGCTGCAGTTGGTTGAATCTGCTGATGTGGAACCTACAGATAATGTAGGGCCATCCGTAAAAATTGCAATTCTGCATTGACTTTTAAATGTTCCTTAATAAACATTAAGTTTAATAGGAGGAAGATGTTAAGCCAACTGTTCCAGATTCCTATTGTGGAGAATTTGGGGGCTTTCATGTTTTCATATTATAAACAGAGCAGTGGTGACCATGTTGGGTGAAATTCTTTGTTACATTTCAGGTTACCTCAGCAGAAGTGGGATGACTTGGTCACAGATGACTGATCACAAGTTAAGGCTCTTGACACATATGGGAAACCCAGTTTCTTTTTTGCTTGGGACCAGCCTCCTCACCTTGGTGCCTGTCGGGCCCCATGCCCCTGGCCTTTTCTTTTCACCTGCCACATGGAGTTCTAACTTGTCCCTAACTGCCTGTTCTCTTCTCTCTTGTCTTCCTCTGCCCCAGCCTGGTAAAGCCCTTGCGACACTATGCGGTCTTCCTCTCCGAGGACTCCTCTGACGATGAATGCCAGCGGGAAGAGGCCCCAAGCGCTGGCTTCACCGAAAGCTTTTTCTTCTCTGCTCCCTTTGAATGGTCTCTCCTTCCTTCTTCCAGTTCCCCAGGCTCAGCTTGGTGACTCTTGGGGCTGCATGGGGTCGTAGGGGGACTGTTGTGCTTGCTCTTGTGTGGGGGGAGGGGGGCTTGGAGCTGCCACGTGCCAACTGCTCCAGGGCCAACTTACAGAGTGGGCGCCACTTCCATGGGTCTCTTCTCAGGGCATCCATTCTGCCAGCCCCACTGGGACTGTGACAGCGGAAGGAGGCATCAGGTAATGCAGGAACATCCCCATTCCTTATAAGGGGAAAATGAAATTGCTTGTTAATGAAACTGGTGGTCACAATGAGCCTGGTTGCTGATCCCTGAGTCTTCCTTATCTCAGCACATCTTGAAAAGCCATGGAGATAGGAAGTCAGATTTTAAGTTTCAAACAAAAGTAAATAATATGAAATGCATATATAAATACCAGCATATCCAAATGTTGATCCACCTTTTTTTTTTTTTTCCATACTGGGGATGGCACCTAGGACCTGCTACACAAGTACTAAACCACACCCTCTACCTGACTTTTTAAAGACATTTTTAACATTATTGTTTATAACATAAATATCATACTAATTACAAATAGCTTTTTTTGTAAAATCTACCTTTAAAAACTAAGATAAAACAAGAGCCAGGTGCATGACGCACTCCTGTAATCCCAGCTGCTCGGGAGGCTGAGGCAGGAGGATCACAAGTTTGAAGCCAGCCTGGGCAACTTATGAGACCCTCAGTAACTTAGCGAGATCCTGTCTCAAAATTTAAAAAGTGGGCTGGGGATGTAGCTCAGTGGTAGAGTATCTCTGAATTCAATTCCAGAAAGAAAGAAAGAGAGAGAGAAAGAGAGAGTTCAGAAGGTTCATCTACCCTCAAATTAATTTTTTTGTAGTGCCCCTTTTGCCATTTCTTGTCCCTCCACCCACAAGAGCTGGGACTGAGCATAGTGATGTCCATTGTCTGTTTTATTTAACAAGGTTGTATGAGTGTTTTCATTGGGAGCTTTTAAGGGATGGGAATGGCCTTTACTGTGTGTCCACGTGTCCACAGCCTTCCAGGGAGTGGGCTGCTTGGCCATTTTACAAAGTGGGCCTTTTCTCCCTCCATCCCCCTCACTGCCCCTTTTCCCAAACCCTAGCTGAAGTCCCCAGTGTCAAGTCCTTCCCCCCGGGCTGGGCCTGTGGATTATTCAGGGACTTTAAAGTGCCTCCTGCCACTGCCCCATAGAGTAGGTGCCTTGAACCTTTCCAGTCACCAACTCACCTGTGATCACAGGCAGAACAACTTCTTCCAGAGTCCTCACTTAGAAAGGGGCCACCTGAGTCAGTATTGCCCAAACTTCACAGACCACCTTTTCTGTACATGAATCTTTTTTAAAATTTTTCTTCTAAATGCCTTAAGAATTAGCCTTGTCTTAAACAATATCTATAATAACATAGGCTATTATTTCTAATGCTAATTTGAATCAAGAAAGAACCATTGGAATAGGAAATGTTCATCCAGGTATCAACTTTAAAATCGCCTTGGAGGGGTCTGGGGATACAGCTCAGTTGGTAGAGTGCTTGCCACACATGTACAAGGCCCTGGGTTCAATCCCCAGCACCACACACACACACACACACACACACACACACAAAATTATTTGGAGGAGAAGGCGGCCCGCCTGGGAACGACCCAGGGGCTCTCCCACCACCTGTCCAGCATGTTGAGTCATGTCCTACTCCATCACATTCTCTTTAATGCCAACATTATTGAAATAATGGTTAATGATCATTTCTTTACCCCATGACTTCAGGTCAGTACAGGCCTTTGTGTGTGTGTTTAAAAAGGAATTAGCTCATCCTAACTCAAAACAAAATATTGGTCAAAAAGACACTATTTCTTCAAGTTTAGGAAGCACATGGACTTTCCTTTTTCCTTTTCACTGTGTCCAAACTTGATTAGAGAGTCTGTAGTTCCTTGATCAGATGACTTGGCCTGAGTGAGGGAAGGACTTTTGGAGTTTCTCAAACTTGGCTTCCCTTTCTACCTCTGGCTTGGTGCTATGAGATACAGTGAGTTATTTCACTTCTCTAAGCTTCCATTCCCTCATCTCCAGGGTGGGGGTGTAAGTCCTGCTTCATGGGTTGCTTCATTGAGTTAGTGAGGGCTTACAATCTGATGGGATCCCTGCCAACAGTTGGGTCTATTTGTTGAGCCCTCCGGGGACTGTCTCTGCCTGGCTTCTTCTTTGAACCTACTCTTGACCAGCAGGTGGCGCCCTCCTCCCACTTGATCATCTGAGCCCAGTCCTGCCTAACCAAGGGCCTCAGTTAGCCCCCGCCTTGTAGTTAGAGGAGGCAGGACATTGCTCTGGCCAGGGGTACTAAGTAAAGGTTTACCCATGTGCTGACTTCTAGTGTACCCACTGATGCCCTGGGATCAGATCATGGGAAAGAAGATGAAAGGAACCTGGTTGCTTGCAACTTCCAATGTGCAAGTATACAGAAAGCTGTCAGCACAAGCCCTGGTGATAGCAGCACTCACTGGTGGGTTGTCACCAGCTTCTGCATAGCTGCTATATGCCAGGCACTGCATTTGCTCATGTAGTCACCACTACCACCTGAGAAGATGAGGCTCAGAATGTTTAAGTGACTTGCCCAACTTCCCACAAGAGATGGCATGACCAGGACTGGAACTGAGCCCAATACAAGCCAAGGCCCAGATAGTCCCTCTGAGGATCCCAGGACAGTGTAGACAGCTGCCCTCTTGAGTTTCTCCAGGTCTGCTCCCCATTATCCATTCACAGCCAATTCTGTAGCTACTTGTCAGTCACCAAATGAAGGAGCAGGATGGGGAACCTACAGATTCCTCTTCCAGTCCTGCCCTTTTCATCTAGCCCAATATATGAAAACACACAGGGAGAACTAAGTGGACCTCTGCTGTGCAAGGAGAGCCAGGCCACAGAGCAAGCAGCAGAGCCAAATTTACCCCCAGGTGGCTCAGACCACAAGCTTGCCCCCTTGCTGCTGCCTGGCCCCAGCCCACATGGAGCCCCAAGACTCTCCTATCCCAGTGGTTCCCAGGCATGGTCCTGCAGGCCTCGGTGCTTTTAGGGTCTGGGAACTGACTGATCTTCCCATGGACACCCTGGGTGGGAGAGGAAGAGTCCAGCCCACTCTGTCTCCTTTCAGGCCACAGCCATATCGGACACTCAAGGAGTCAGACAGTGCAGGAGATGAGGCAGAGAGTCCAGAACAGCCAGCACGGGAACTCAGGGGTCCTGTCCCAGCTCCACCTGACCGGGCTGCCAGCATCGACCTCCTGGAAGACGTCTTCAACAACCTGGACATGGAGGCCCCCCTGCAGCCACTGGGCCAGGCCAAGAGCTTGGAGGATCTTCGGGCCCCCAAAGACCTGCGGGAGCAGCCAGGAACTTTTGACTATCAGGTATGGTACAAATAGGGCAGGGTATCCACCAGGTACCTTCCGCACATAGGACAGACCCCCGCCCCCTCAAGTCACAGTAGATGAGACAAGAAACAAACTGATTTTCCTGAGGACCTCAGCCAATGCGCAGACTATGATTCCAAACCCTGCCTGGTGGACCAGTAGCCACATCACCCTGACAGTGAGCCTGAAGAAGATGCTAGCTCACTTCCTTTGGTGTATCAAAGCAATGGGCTGGTGCTCCAGGTTTGGCCCCCACCCCCAGTGGAACTAGAATTGATTCCATCCCCACCATGTCTCCTTGGAAGAGCCTAATGGATCAGATTCTTCTATTTCTGTGTGATCACTGGTCTCCCATTGTGACTTCCAATCCATTGCATTCCTTCTCTGTGCTAATTTTGTAATTACTGGGTCACACTGTGGAGTTCACAAGTTCCCACATGTCCCATAATTCATGTGTGCTCCCCTCTGGACATGAGGTAGCTGAGGCCAAGAGAAGGAGAGTGAGCTGTCCAAGTCAAGTAGCTTGGAAATGGCAGAGCCAGGACTGGAATCTAGTCCTCCTGCTTCCTCCCCTACTATGTACCTTCAACCAGGCCCCAAGACTTATTTGCCCTCTCAGGTATGATCAAAGTGCCACATGCTCTGAAAAGTTAAAAAGACCAGGCCAGCCAGGCACAATGGCATACACCTGTAATCCCATTAACTTGGGAGGCTAAAGCAGGAGGATCAGAAGTTCCAAGATCAGCCTTGGCAATTTAGCAAGACCCTCAGCAACTCAATGAGACCTTGTCTCAAAATAAAAAATGGTCTGGGGCTGTACCTCAGTAGAATAGCACCCCTAGGTTCAATTCCCAATACCAAAAAAGTGAGGGGGAAGGCCAGGCCAGTGGGTGGTCAGTAGAGGTAATCATTTTCCCAAGACCAATTGACAACCACTAGTATAAAAGGACAAGAGCTACCTCTCAAGTCCCTTTGTGCCACAGTGAGAGACCTGGGCTCTCTGCTGGTTACCTGGGATGAGCCCCTGACTGACCCAGGTCCCAGGAGCTAATTGGACACATGCCTAGCAGCACCATTCCAGTGCCCGTTCAGCACTCAGGAGGGATGGGAATGGGCATGCATTTCTCCTGTCTTCCCTGGGCCAGTCTGTGGTCACCACCTCCCTTCTTCCCTCCCAACAGAGGCTTGACCTGGGCAGGAGCGAAAGGAGCCTTGGGATGGCAGTAGCCTTGAAGCTTGCCCACCCATACAACAAGCTCTGGAGCCTGGGCCAGGATGACATGGCCATCCCCAGCAAGCCCCCTGCTGCCTCCCCTGAGAAGCCCTCAGCCCTGCTTGGGAGCTCCCCAGCCCCGCCTCACAGGCCCCAGACCCAGGACAACAACCTGAACCCCAGCAACAAGGAGGAGGCTCCCACCCCGACTTCAGGCAGTATCACCATTCCCCGGCCACAGGGCAGGAAGACCCCAGAGCTGGGCATTGTGCCTCCACCACCCACTGCCCGCCTGGCCAAGCTCCAGGCTGCCAGTGGCACCCTCGGGGACTTTTCTGCAGAGCGACTACAGACAGATCGGGAAAAGCGAGCTGCCCCAAGCCCAGCCCTGTTCCCAGGGCTTCTCCCCAGTGTTGGCCCCCAAGGCCCCACAGAACTCCTGCAGCCACTCAGCCCAGCCCCAGGGGCTCCAGGCACAGGTAGCGATGCCCTGCTCGCCCTCCTGGACCCCCTTAACACAGCCTGGTCAGGCAGCACTGTCCCGCCACACCCTGCTGCCCCAAATATGGCCACCCCATTCACCCCACAGTTCAGCTTCCCCCCCATGGGGACCCCTACCCCTTTCCCACAGCCACCGCTCAACCCCTTTGTCCCATCTGTGCCAGCAGTACCACCCACCCTGCCTTTGAGTTCTACACCTTCCAGGCCTTTCGGGGCCCCTCCAGCTTCTCTGGGGCCGGCTTTTGCACCCAGCCTACTACTGTCCAATTCTGGCTTCTGTGCCCCTCATAGGTCTCAGCCAAACCTGTCTGCCCTCTCCATGCCCAATCTCTTTGGCCAGGTGCCCGTGGGCGCCCACACCAGTCCCCTGCAGCCACTCGGCCCTCCAGTAGTTGCCCCATCAAGGATTCGAACATTGCCCCTGGCCCGCTCAAGTGCCAGGTCTGCTGAGGCCAAGCAAGGGCTAACTCTGAGACATGGAGACCCCCCACTCCTGCCTCCTAGACCCTGTCAGGGCCTGGAGCCAGCACTGCAGCCCTCTGCTCCTCCAAAGGCCAGAGACCCCTTTGAGGATTTGTTACGGAAAACCAAGCAAGATGTGAGCCCAGCCCCAGCCCCAGCCCCAGCCCCAGCCCCAGGCTCCGTGGAGCAGCTCAGGAAGCAGTGGGAGACATTTGAATGAGAGATCCTGAGGGTTAGGGCCAGCTGGGCCCAAGTGCTGCCATCCAGTGTGCGGCTTCCCTCTCCCCAGGTTCTGCTGGTGGGAAGGGATGGGACCTACTCTCTACCCTCCCCCTCCATACTACCCATCTCTGAGGTCCAGCCCTGGGGAACGGTGCCAGTCGCAGCCTGGGAACTATCCCAGCTCCTAGGCGCCCGTCCTACCTTACTCCCATCCTCCTCAGCACCCTGCTTGGGTTTTGCACTAGAGAGGTCAACAGGGTGGCCACTGCCCAGACCCCTCCTGCCCACTGTCTCTTCAGAGACACCCATGCAGCCATGAGGTTCAAGGCTGCTTCTCTGGAGCCCAGAACTCCTGTCTGTCCTTTGACCATCCCAGCACCCCCAACAGGCACAGGTGTCAGTGTCACCCAGCTTGTCTGCATCAGCATAGATGGCTTCAGGGCTGGAAGTCAGGGCCCCTCCTGGACTGGAGGAAATCCCTGGTGGTCATCTCCAAACCCCTTCTAGCAATACTGCTTTCTTGAGTCTGCCCCAAGCCCAAACGTCGGTTGTTTCCACGAGCCAAGGGAACTCGGGGCCACTTTTGATGGCCAAACCCAGCCCCAACCAGCTCAGCAGGGGGTCTGGGAGCACCAGCAACTCTGATTCGTAGAAGAAAAAGAGAAGCCCACAAATCCAAGTATCAGAAGTCAGCTGTCATCCCCATACCTCTGAATTCTCCTTTGTCTCCAATCACTGTTAAAGCTGGGACTTGGCTGGGTCTCCTAACACTTGGGGCTTCGAGGGCAGAGTTGAGCAGCAGCAACCCATGCCACAGACAGATGCCTGGGCTTCCTGGAGCAGGGAAGCCCCTTGAAGGACTCTCATGGAATGGACAAACGTGCCCCTCTTAGCCTGGGGCAGGAGGAGGCCTAGAAACCAGCCCCTCCCACCTGCCTCAAGCTTCGCGCCAGCACAGAAATTCCTAAGGCCAAAGTTAAATTGAAATATTTTGTTATTGTTTCTTTTATCTTTCTTTTCTTTTTTACTTTATTGATTTGATAAATCTTGAAAATTGACTCCTTTCAATAAACCAAGTTAAAATAAGACCCAACCATTTAAGAAAACAACCATCTGAGACATACAGGAAATTGTGAGCATTTTGACCTGATTTCTCATTTCCTATTTGTGAATGGTCAGACACAGTCCCTCTCCCCTCTGCCTGGGGGTGTCTGACAGGGTCAAAGGGGTCCCTGGAGGTCCCCATCACTCCAGGGAGCTTCCTCTACATCCGAGAGGTGGGAGGCCACTGCCACTGCTCATAAATCAGTGATGCCTGGCCTCCTGTGTCATTTGACCCAAGAATAACAAGTCTCTCCTATCTTGGTAATGTTCTGTGGTTGCTGGGGAGCCAGGTCTCACCTGGGCCACATGGGTCCCTCCTTCAGGCACTCAGGTGTATCGGCACAAGTCCCAGTTCCACTCTTCTGCCCTGGGCAGACTCCAGGCCCCATTAAGGACAGGGAAGCCCCCCACAGAGGGGGCAGAAGATGAACAGAGGCACTGGGTAGCCCAGGAAGCAGAAGGCACCCCGCAGTCCCCCTGGTTGGGCTGGGTGGCTGCTGTCATGTGCTCCCTATTCACATGAGCACCGATGTCTTCTTTGCTGGCTGGACGGAATTTACAAACCCAAGGATGAACTTTGTGTGAATTCAATAAAGTCTTGGGGAAAAGGCTGGAATACTTGTATCCTTGAAGGAAGCTCTGGGGGAGGGGAAGCCCCCTGAGCAGGCCCTTAGCCATCTTCTCCATCCCTCATACAAAGGTAGAGGCCAGGTAAGGGGCAGGATTTGCCCTTGGCCAACTCCAACACCTGTGCCCATGGAGCTCTGAGCCAGTGACTCACTTCCCTCCAGGCAGAGCATGGTATGGGCTGGTTGACAGTCCACACAGTCCTGATGGGACCACGAAGCAGGGATAACAGCCACCAACAGTGCCAAGGGCACCCAGGCTTCAGGACAGAACAAGTTCAAAGAGACCCCTGGAAAGTCACCCCCACAGATCTCTCACCAGCAAGGGCAGAGCCTTGGATTGGACAGTACCCTAGTTGGGCACTAAAGTTTGGAGGAGAGATCTAGACCAGTCACCCACAGTGGCCAATGTCACCAAAATTAAGTTGAAATGTGATTTGTCTATATGTTGGCATTCCACATGAAGTGTCTCTTCTAAGAAGTCTGCAGCTAGCACAGGTTTCAAATCTAGGACTTTGGTAACCCATCTGAGGAGCCAACTTGCCCTCTCCTCTCCCAGGGTCATACAAAGACCTGGGGAAAGGCAGCCCCACCTCCTACAGGATAAGGCCAAACAGCCTGGTGTTCAGGGCTCTCAGCTTCAACTGAGCCTCGAGTGCCCCCAATCCTATGCCTTCTAGAGATGGCTGAGACCTCAAGGGGCGCCAGGTAAAGTCAGCCTCCAACTTGGAAGCGTAAAATATGTGGTCTGGCCTTGGCACTTGGAGCCCACAATCACAGAAGGTGCTAGCCTGGGAAACAAGGACGAAAGAGCACATCTCCAGGTCGCGGGGGGACTCCATGAGGTTCAGAGGAAGCCAGGCCCTCAGGAGGGTGTCCACTCTGATCCAAGGTCACAATGTGCTGAGCCATGACAGGATGTAGCAAATTCTTCATGAGTCCGCCTCTGAGGGCCCAGCCCCAACACAGTCTGAACTGACGTTTGCAAACTTTGAGGGCTTCCTTCCAGTCCTTTCCCTGAGTCATCCCAACAGCCAGACACTTAGGAGACTGGCCTGCAGGCATAAGAACAGCCAGGGTTGAAGATCTAGGTAGGTTTGTGAGGGCTGGGGAGAAGGGGACACTGCTCCTTCCTCTCAGTGCCCCTCTGGCCTCCTTGCCAGGCCCCTTGCTCTAGTTAGGGGAGACAACACCTCCTGATACCTAAAAGGAAACCCAGACAGTCCTTCACATCAGATGGCAGTTTAACAACTTTCCGAATTCTTTCCCCCTTACTAGCCCCTCGATCCTCACAACAGCCCTTGTGAGGTAGGCAGGGGGCCCTCCTGTTTCTACAAATGACCACAGTCAGGCGGGAGAGCTCAGGACTCGGGTCCTCTGCTTCAGCTGGCCTGCCCTGCACAGACGTTGGGTCCAGGGGTCTGTGCTTCCCTTGTGGGACTGGCTCTGGCACCAGACAGAGACGGATCTGTCTAAAGGATCTTGATCGGCCTCCATGAACTCCCTCCACCCCCACCCAGTCTCCCAGCTGTCTCCAGGGCACGGGCTGCCCTTGGAGGTGAGAGAAGGGGCCAGAATTAAAGATTTGATGCTTGGGCAAGCCCTGACTGACTTCTGCAAAACATGTAGCCTTGGCTGCCCCTGCCCCAGAGCTATCCAGGGTATCCACACCCCCAGAGCAGCCACCACCCCCCATGGGATTATCTGCTCCCACTACAGTCACAATCACATATATAAGAGGCGGTGGACACATCCGTGACCTCGTCAGAGCACTCACAATGGAGTCTGTGGGGCTGCATGTCCCCCCACACACACTCCTGGCACACCATGGGCACTCATTGGTGCCCTCCCACTCACAGCTGAGCATCTGCCAAGGCAAATCCCGGCAGGTCAGGTGGCAAAGCTCACACCTCACAGGCCCCTCTCTGCTTCCCTGAGTTGCTCCCCTGTTCCTCAGTCCATGATGGGGCAGAGGCAGGAGCTGCCAGCTATGGGACACTCCCAGTGGTTGTCTGGGCCCTGTAGTGGCCTCCTTGGGTCACCAGGTAGAAATCCTGCAGGATCTCTGGGGCCTGGCATGAGCAGCCAGGCTGGTCTAGATAAGTCTCTCTTCGGGTGGCACCTTGAGAACACTGTCCATCTCCAGCCGGGCCCCAGCCACCTCCTGCTGGCTTGGGCTATAGGTGCCTTCTGACTGTCGGCGTTTTCTGGCAGCCAAGATCCCTGAGAGGAGGCCCAGGAGGAGGAGGAGGAGGCAGGCACAGGCAGCAGGCACAGCTACCTCCAGCAGTGGGAATGGCAGTGGCAGAGGCAGGCCTTTCTGCAAGACAGAGAAGGCACAAGAACTTGCTCAGAGAACACCTGGCAGGAGAACTGTTTTCCCAGGAAATGGTGAGAGACCCAACCCAGGGCTAGGCAAGCAGGGGCCAGCAAGCCACCTGTCAGAACCACCACAAGGGGGCGCTGCAAAACTGAGGGGCTGTGGCTGGAAGGACAGAAAACACACTCATTGAACGCTCAGCACAAGGGCAGCACTGACCCTACAATGGTCTGATGAAGCAGGAGGGGGAGCAGGGACAGGTAGCTGATGGCAAGGTCAGAATCCACCAGGGCCTGCCAGTCCAAGGGGGCTCCTCTGACAGTTTGTCCCTGGGAGAAGCAGGCCAGGTTCTAGGGACCAGCAAACCTCCTCCCCATCTCCAATCACAGATCCCCCCAGGATGTTCCTATTTAGATTCTACAGGCCTGGAATTCTGAAGTCCCAGGAATCATAGGATTCCAGAGCCTCAGAGTCTCAGTCCTGCCTCTATACCTTGAGGCGTCTCAGCCCATTGTGACCTGGATCTCCAAAGCCAGCACCCAGCCCTGAAGAAGCTGCCCCAAAACTATAAAATTCATGCCAGTCCTGGGAGGACCTCTCAGACCTCCACCCAGGCAGGCCCTTCGGGGACAGCTGTAAAGACATTTCCTCCCCACTGCCTGGGAGGAGGGTGAATAGGTAGGGTCGCTAGAGGCTATAAAAGTTCAACTTGAAAGGGACCATTCCCCATAAGCAAAGCGATCTGCAGTTTATGACCCGGGCTGCCAGAAGCCTGTGGAGATCAAGGCTGCACCTCAGACTGAGCTTCCTGAGCCCCCTCCCAGCAGCCCCCATGGTGGGCCCACTGCTCCTCCAGTGCCTGTTCTACCCCAGGGCTGGGATGCTGGGCGCCTTCTCAGTTGGGCCTCACTGGGGTCAGGGACATACACTTTTATAGTGGCCAAACCTCTCTGGTTCAGAATCCTGGGCTCCTCAAATCTTCCTGGATCAGAAACCCACTAAGATTACAGGCTCTAAGATTCTGTGGGCCCTAAATTCTCATCCCAAATTGGACCTGGCAGACCCCAATGTTCCCACTGTCATTCCCCTAGGCACCGTGCCTGGCCAGGAGCCTCGTTGACAGATGATGGGCCCCCAAGAATCTCTTAGATGAAACCACCTCCTGCGAGCAGCATGGAAAGGGCCTGAATCCCCTAGCCTGTTCCTTCTCAGCCATGACAAGGTTGGCCCAGAAACAACCCTACAAATGTCCTATACACTCTGCCCCCAACAGCATGGCACTGAAGTTCAGACAAGCCTGTCAGGGCACTCCTGCACCCTGGGCATCACTCACCACCACTTCGCAGAACTGGCCGGAGAATCTGGTGCTGCAGACGCATTCATACGCCCCATCCACTTTCCGGCAGGTGCCCCCATTCAAGCAAGGATTGGCTTCACAGGGCGGTGTGGGGTTCTGACACCTGGAGAGGGAGGAGTGCTGAGCGTCCCTACCCCCAGGGCAGCCCCATGTCTTCCAGCTGCTCTAGCACACTCCCCAACCATCAAAGCTCATCCATCACCTGTCCCCAAGCATTTTCTTGCTCAGCTGAACCCTGCGTATTTCTATGGTCACCCACTTGGACCTAGCGCTCATGACCCAAAAGGACTCTGACTCTGTGAAAATGACAGGAGATCGTGTGGAAGGACAGGTGCCCAGGGACACCGACCCCACCTTCTGGAGGCCCAAAATCTGCGCTTCTGCTGTCCCCACCTGACACCGGAAGGGGGGGGGCGCCCTGAGGACTGAGCTCACAAAAGCCAGCAGATCACTACTGCCCAACAGGCCTCGGCTGAAAGGATGGTCTGGGAAGCCCAGAAGGAAAGGACTCCGGTTACAGTGGTGGGATGCCTGGCACTGTGACACAGCCAGTGAGGGAGGAAGTGGTGAGTGATCATCCCCACTTCCCCTACCTGGGCTGCAGGGACCCAGTGGCCACCATGCCCAGCTCTCCACACCTGAGTCCACCTCCCAGTCTCCCAACCTCCACACACACCTCTGGCCAGCAAAGCCCTTCTGACAGCTGCAGTTGGTGCCTGGGGGTCCGCCCTCACAGGTGTCACCATCAAGGCAGGTGAGGTTGAAGCTGCATTTCTCCAGCAAGAGAGGTGTCCTGGGGAGAAAGTGCGAGGCTGCACCCTGGCCCTCTGGCCCTCTGCGCTGGCCCAGCTAAGCATGGTGCTCTCATCTTTGGAATTCAGCCCTCCACGTGGGTCAGGGAAGTCGTGTGGGTCAGGGAAGCCATGTCTGGGTGGGAGGGAGGGGACCCAGGGCTGCCATTCTGCTGCTCAGGCCCCACCCACAACACCTACACAACGTGTGGGCAGGGCACGAACATTTCCTGAGTCTCAGAGGCCTTTAAGAAGCCCAGTGGGAAGGACTTGCAGGGGTGACAAAAGTCCTACCCCCAGGGCAGCCCCATGTCCTCCAGCTGCTTTAGCCTGCTCTCCAACCATCAAAGCTCATCCATCCCCTGTCCCCAAGCATTTTCTTGCTCAGCTGAGCCCTGCGGATGTCCATGGTCCTGGCCCTCTGGCAGAATGCACCTCTCTCTGCTCCCGACCTGGGAGACCAGGAGGCTGTGAATGTCACTGCCCCCTGGAGATCATAGGCTCCCGACTGCAGCCCCCCAGACAGCAGCATTATTTGAAATTCAAATTTAGCTGGACATATCTTAACCTCTGTTTGATCCTTCAGTGCAGCCAACTGAACTATCACCCCATTTCACAGATAAGGGCGAGGAGGCTCAGATAAGGAAGGAGATGCTCCCCCCGCCCCCCACTGGGCAAATCTGCTGCCTCTTTGGAGGCTCTTCTGCCCCTCCCATCGCTCCAGGGGTTCTGCCCTCACCCAACCCGACCCAGGTGAACCTTCGGTGCCCTCGGGCACAGGTCTCCAGGCTTTCCGCACCTGCAGCGCGGGCCCGCGAAGCCCGGTGGGCAGCGACACTCAAAGTGGCCGTTTGGGCGCGCGTGACATCGTCCGCGGGCACAAGGCGCGGAGCGACAAGGGTCGGCTGGAGCCTCGCAGCGCGGACCCTCCCAGCCCGGGCCACAGGCGCAGGCGAAGGCGTCAAAGAGGTCGCGGCAGGCGCCGCCATGCAGGCAGGGAGAGGATGCACACACCGGCGCGCCGAGGCAGCCAAGGCGCGGAGCAGGCGACCCTGGCCAGACCGCGAAGTGCTCTCGGGGACCTGGGGACACGCCGGGCCGCGGTCCTGCCAGAGGCAATGGGAGGCCGCCAATCGCCACCCGGCCCAAGCAGCCGGTGAAGTTCTCGGCCAACAGGACGCGCGCAGCGTCTAGGCCCTGCAGGAAGTCCAGGTGACCCGCCTGGCCACGCAGCGCCACAGGTGTCGCGGCGCTGTCCAGCCACAGCAGCCAGCGAGAGGCGGCGGCCGCGGGTTGTTCCATGGCCAGGCGCACTCGGTGCCAAGCGCCATCGGCCACCCGCGGCCCGGGAGCCGGCAGTACTGCGCCCGACATGCCGCGGCCACTGCGCACGCTAGCAGCCAGCGAGCCGTTGCGCACCGCCAGCCAGAGGCCAGCCTGGGCGCCAGCTGAGGCGCGCAGCAGCCCGGCCTCGGTGTCACGCGTACGGAAGGCAAGCGCAAGCCCGCTGAGCCGGTGCCCCGACGACATGTTGTGCCCACTGAACGCAGCCGGGGGGCCCTCCTGGAACGTGGCCTCAGCCACACCTGCAGAGAGAGGAAGAGAGCTGGGGAAACGACTCAAGCGACCTTCTCCAGAGATTCCATCTCTCCCCCCAGCATGCAGGTGGTACTGTCTGATGCCCCATTTCAGGGCCATAGTGGGGGCTGGGCACACCCACCCACCTACCCACCTACCATCGGTCCAGGAAACTACAGTGGTCCCCTACCCTATCCTGTGCACTCCCTACCTCTGGGGTATCAGTTCTGGAACAATGCTGAGAAGACAAACCAAGATGCAACCCTGCCCTTGAGGTCACAGGCCCAATAATATTACCTGCCCTTCCCTCTCCCTGAAGCTCCTCTGTTTCATCAAGGAGGCTCCCTTTGGCAGACAGTTATACATGGGCACAATATCTTTATTTTGTTTATTTATTTTTATGTGTTGAGGATCAAACCCAGGGTCTCACACATTTGAGGTGAGCGCTCTACCACTGAGCCACAACCCCAGCCCAGCCAGGCATCTTTTTAAAGTACCTACTTAAAACCTCCAGTGACTCCCTACTGCCATTAGGACTTGCCATGCCTAGAATTCAAAGGGTCGGGAACTTCACCCCATTTCCTGTTGCACCCCTCCGTCCTTGCCTTTCAAAGGTTCTGGTAGACCTCAGGATCTTTCCTCTCCCTGAAATGTCCTTCCCTGAGGCTCCTCAGAGTTTGCCCTGGAAAACCCAGCACCTGCTTGCCTCCTCCAGAGAGCTAGCCCACCACCATGGGCTGGGGTTGGCATTCCTGGTCCATGGTGCAGCATCCCCTCCCCAAAAAGATATAACCAGCGCAAGTACCCAACACTGCCCAGAGCACAAACTCACAGACAAAGCCATCCGGGACTTCCTCACAGGTGGCAGGCGGGAGGCAGGGCTGGCTGGGGCACCATAACTGCTGGGCACATGTAGGCCCCGTGAAATTGCCAGGGCAGGTGCAGTGAAAGTCATTCCAGGTGACAAGGCAAGTTCCACCATTGAAACAGGGATCAGGCTGTGGGAGAGTGGAGGGAGAGGCAGCTCAGGCCCGCAGTTGGCACCATCCCCATAACCATCATAGAAGCAGTTCTTCATTGAGCATCTACTAAGACACATGACCTCCTCACAGACACACAGAGAGAGCCAGGCACAGCAGCATGTGCACCTTCAGTCCCAGCCACTCAGGAGGCTAAGGCAGAAGGATCACTTGAGCCCAGAAGTTTGAGACTAGCCTGGGCAATATATCGAGACCCCATCTCAAATAGGAAAGAAAAAAAAGTCACCATCATCCCCCATTTTACAGATGAGGCTCAGAAAGGCGAAGCCACTTCCTGAGTCACCCAGCCCATTAACTAGAAGTGGAGTTCACACCCAGTCTATTCAATTCCAGAGCTGGTACTTTGTTCACAAACACAGAGGGTCCCCTTCCTCCATCTCAGACAGCCTCTGTCTAGGTCAGGGTGACTGTCTCACACAGGGACTGGGTAGGGGAGGCACAGGGACCACCAAAGAGTAGGAGCAGCAGGGTGGAGGGAGGTGAACGCAAACCTTGCTCTGCCACTACAGCACTGGGATCATGGGCAGGTCACTTCCAGTCTACTTCCTCCTTAGCAAAAGGACAAGCCAGCCCCCAGGGACACAGAACAGGTCCAGAGTAAAGAACCCACACCCGGGCACTCACACTGCACATGTCCTCAGAGACGCAGCCCCGGGTGAGGTTCTGGGCCTGGCCGCCCAGCTCACTGAGCTGACTGGAGTTCTCCGGCCGCAGAGGAAAGAAGGGGAGGTGGAGGCCATTGAGTCGTAGGTCCTGGAGACAGCCTCGGAAGGGCCCACCCCAGGGCTGGATGTCAGCAGGGAGCGGCCTCCCCCCCACGTGCACCTGCTGGCCCACGTCCTGCAGTTGGTCAGGCCCGAAGCTGAGTGTCACCAGATGACGGAGCCCGTCATCCCAGCGCCCAGGCAGCGGCACAGCAGGACTGCCCAGTGCCTCTGCCCAGACCTGGCCCTCCCTCAAGAAGACCGTCAGGCCGGCGGCCGAGGCATTGGCAAACTGGAGCAGCAGGCCGGCAGGCTCCCGAGTGCGCAGCAGGAAGGACACGGTGAGGTTGGGGCCTGGCAGCTCAGGGAGCAGGAAGGAGGCCGCGCTCGGGGTGCCCCCCAGGCCAAAGGTGGCAGCCGGAATCTCTGCAGGGAGACAGGGCTGGCGTGAGGCCGGCAGGCCGGAGCCCGGTGTTAGGCGCTGCCTTTCCACCTGGGTCTTTCCTCACCGTCAGCACACGTGGGTCCGCTATGAGGCCGGGGGCAGTCGCAATGGAAGTGAGTCCACAGATCCACGCAGGTGCCTCCATGGGCACAGGGCAGAGGCTGGCACTGCTCCTGGCGCTCACAGCCCAAGAAGACATTGTCACTGAGATGCTCAGGCAGCAGAAGGTGCCCGTCCACATACACATCTTGGAGGCAGCCAGCAAAGGCCGAGCTACCCAGCTGCGTAGAGCAAGGCCCAGGAGACCGGGGGGCCACTGAAGCTGTGGGACTTGGGACCACAGGACCAGAGGCCACACAGAGATGGGAAGGGCAGCCCTCATGCCACAGTCGCAGCTCCAGGTTCCCCAGGCGCAGTGCCACCTCCACCTGGTGCCAGTGGCCATCGTTCAGGGTGAGGTCTGGCAGACTCAGGACAAGTGCATGGGTACCATGGCTCAGTGTGACTTGAAGTGTGGCCCCCACTAGTGCCAGCTCCAAGCTGCCCTGGGTGTCAGTGCGAGTAGCCAGGGCCCCAGCAGGCAGTGTGGTACAAAATCTCAGTGCCAGACCCAGGGGGCCACCAGCTGGCACTGATGCCCACACGGGGCTTCCAGCTACCACAGAGAAGGTGGTATTCTGGTCACAGAAAGGCCCATGGGTACCAGGGGGACAGTGGCAGACATAACTGTGGACCCCAGACTTGAAGGTAGGAATGCAGGTGGCAGCGGGTGGGCAGGTGTGGCCCAGGCAGCCAGTGAGCTGCACAGAACAGTCATGTCCACCCCAGGGCTCTGGGCACTGGCAGATGTAGCCTGCCACAGCATCGTCGCAGGTTCCACCATGGAGACAGGGCCCTGACAGGCATTCGTCCACATCTTCCTGACACGTCAGGCCTTCAGGAGAGACCAGGCCAAGACTCAGTAGCGCCCAGGGCCAGAACCACATTCTCAACCCAGAATGTGCGTGCCTCTTGTGGTGTGAACCCCCATCCCTACCAACCAAACCACTTCCCAAAGGATCTCTTTTCGTCCCTGCAGTCCTTTATGGCCCAAATCCAAGATTCCCCTACCCTTGCCATGTCTGGTGAGTCCCCCTACCCTTGATCCCTTAAACATCCTCCATACCCTCTTCCCCCACCTCATGTCTCCTGCCTGGCCGGCTTCCTGGGACACAGTCCAGCAGCCTCCAGCTCGCCTGCCTCAGAAGCCCCTCTCCCATCTGCCCCAACCAGAGATCTACTCCCGAAATAGCACCCGGGAGCTCCCTCTGCTTCTTCAAGTTCAATTGCTCACCCTGGCATTCACGCACCCGGAGTCTATGGGCTAGGCCCTACCAGGATCTCAAGCCTCAACTCTGCTCCCTAAAAGCCTTGAATTTCCACTTCCTCCAAGCATTTCCCGGAAATTCCTGCCTCGGGAGCTTTGCTTATTCCATTCCCTCATCCTCCATTACTCTTCTTTTCAAATTTCTACTAACCCTGCAAAACTCAACTCAGAGGGCCCAGGGCCTTTCCAACCCAAACAACTCTGTCACTCCCCACTCCCAGAGACAACTCCCCAGAACCCTGTAGGCAAAGTTTTCTGTTTACGGGGACCTGAATGTCTTTGGTGCCCAGTAAAGGGCATTACTTTTGTGGGTAGCGTGAAAAAATGGAAGGGTGGGGTTTGATTTATGCACCTGGGGCACGTTGGGCCATCCCCAGGCTTGTCCCCTCAGTTCCTCTTTTCCAGTGTCCCCTGCTGGCTGTATGGGACCACATCATCCTCTTCTCCAGCCTCCCCACAGGTACACTGGCCCAGCTTGAATCAGGAGGCCATAGCCCAATGCCAGCTTAGTCAGCCCCACAGAACAAACCCAGACAAGCCCTGCCCCAAACCCAGCTGGAGGACTCCACATCCAAAGCAGCCACCAGGATTCGGGGCCCAGCCCCAGTCAGCCTGAAACACCACAGCCACCTCCTGGGAACCACCAGCCACCTGCCCCAGCTTCCCCCTGGCCCCAGTCCTCCATACCTGCCAGGAGCCACAGACCCCCCAAGAAGGGGTGCAGAACCCACAGCCACATTGCAGTACCCCACAGATGGGCTGAGAGTGGTGGCAGGTGCCGAGGCTCGGGAGCAGAGCTCCCTGCCTGGCTGCCTGCCTCCTCCTGAGTCTGCTCAGGAATGCCAGGCTCTGGCCTCCCCCACACACAGAGCTGCCGAAAGGGAGGATGGGCCAGGATGCCAGCCCCACAGCCAGGACCTCCTGCGAAACTCTGACCTAGAGATCTGCCCTCCCAGTCCCTGGTCAGCTGAGCTCAACTGGGAAGGAGTTGGGTTCCCACTGACACTGGTGAACCTGGCGGTCCTGGGCCTCTCTAACCTCTGTTGCCTCCTCTGTGAGATGGGGACTCTAAAGCCTCCCTCACTGGGCTGTGGCAGAGAGAAGCAGGATGCCCAGAAAATGCTTTCCAGAGTCCTGGCATGCAGTGGGTCACCCACTCCTAGAGGACTCAGGGGACCTCAGCCAATGGGAGCTGCAGATGGGCTTGCAGGGCTCTCAGAGCACTGGCCACTAGAAAGGGACACTGAGCCCCAACATCTTTGGTGAGTGAGGGCAGGAGGAATGGTCGTGATCACCACCTCCTTCCTCAGGTCAGGGGAGCCCAGGAACCTTCCAGGGAGAGAAGGCAGTTTGCCTAGAAGGAATGCAGGAGGTGTGGGGGAGGCGCACACATTCCAGACGGGGTGGGGACACTGGGAGTGTGTGCCATTCCTCAGGTTCACGTGTGTCCATGTGTCTGCATCTGCATGGACCCAAGGCAGGGAGAGAGGTTTGTGCCTAACAGGCCCTAGTCCCAGAGGAAGAGCTTCCTCTGTTGGCCCCAACTCTCTGCACTCACCCACCTTTCCTCCTCTATCCTCCTTGGAAACCTCTGGGCCTCAGCCCAGTCCTTTGTAGTTTCAGTCTCAGCACTCTTCATGATGCCCCAGACAGCCTCAGTCCTGACCCCCTGCCTATGGATCCACACCTACCCCTCTCCTGGCCCCCAGCCCCCGGACCACCAGCCCCGGCGCACTCCAGAGACTGGATGAGCAAGACTGAACTCATCTTCCTCCAGTCAGTTCCCCCAGGGCACCTCCAGTCAGGGTCCCCAGTCAGTGTCTCCCAGGGCACTGGCAGAAGCTCGCTAGAGTCCTTGACACCTCCCATTCATGAGGACCTATAGCTATCCCTTCTAAATTCTTCTCAAGTGGACCAGCTCCCTCCCCTCCCACTTCCAAAGCCTGATGGGGCTCAGCCCCCCTCAGCTGTCTGTCACCTGGGCAACTACACCCACCTTCTCCCTCATTTCCTGTCTGTCCCCATCAATCCATACATCAGACAAAAGGGACCTTCTCATCCAGGCCCGACAACTCTAACCCTGCCCGCCCCCAGTGCCCACCCCACCCCAGTACCTGCATAGCCATCCCCACAGTGGCACTGGAAGCCGTTGGGCAAGTCCTGGCAGTGGCCTCCGTTGAGGCATGGCCATGAGGAACACTCGTCCACGTCCACACTGCAGTCGTCCCCTGCAAGAGGCTCGGCTGAGGCCCCCTGCACCCTCCGAGCCAGACCAGATCTAAAAGGGTCCATTCTTTGGCAAGGGAGCCTGAGGTCCAGAGGGAGGGCTGTTTCAGGCAGGGTGGCACAAGACCACCTGGTGGCAGGGCCGTGGGCGGACTGGGGATCCCTCCCTGGAAGTCTGGACACTGGCTGACTGCTCACCCTCAAAGCCTGGAGGGCAGCGGCACAGGAAGCCAGCAGCGTGGCGGAAGCTGAAAGCGCCCGGGAAGGCAGCCTGGGCACCCCCGTAGAGGGCTGGGTCTGAGCGCTGCAGGCACAGGCCACCGTTGAGGCACGGCCCAGCAGCACACTCGTCCTCATCCACTTCGCACAGCTCTCCGGTGAAACCTGAGGGTGCATACGTAGGCATCAAGTCACGTGAGAGGTCATCAGGCATCTCCCCTCCACTGCCACTAAGCCAGCCCATGGCCAGACAGGGACAACAGCTCTGGAAGCAATCAACAGTGAGGGTCGCTTTGAGGAGGTGGAAATGACCATGGAGACCTGCAGCAGCACATCATTCCTACTATCTTGTATTACCAAGCATGTCGTTGGTGCCAGGTGCTCCACCGCCATTACACCTTCGTCCTCCTCACTGCAAACCCAGGAGTGGGTGCTATTTTCAGCCCCATTTTGCAGATCAGTAAACTGAGGCTCAGGCAGATTGCAGTCTCTCTCACACACAGGTCCAGAGAGCCCAGATGGCACTGCACGCACCCCGTTGCCCTTTGCCGCCCCCCGCCCACCTTCGCACCCACAGCCTACAGCCACACCTAGGGAGCACGCATGGACACACCTGGCCAGCAGAGGCAGCGGAAACTTCCGAGGCCCTCGAGGCAAGATGCGTTATTGGCGCAGGGGTCCGATGTGCACTCCAGCACCTCCTCCTCGCAGCGCGCGCCCTCGTAGCCCGTGCCTGAGCAGTCACACCGGAACCTGGGGTGAACCGGCCTAAGTGAGCGACAGCTCTGCACCCCCCCCCACGCCCCCCTGCCCAAGGCACCCGACGCTAATCGCTCACCCGCTGACCAGGTCATGGCACACGCCCCCATGCGCGCACGGCTGGCTCTGGCACTCATCGATGTCCAGCTGGCAGCTGGCGCCTGCGTAGCCCGGCGCGCACACGCAGCGGTAGGAGCCAACGCCGTCCAGGCACGAGCCCCCATGCAGGCAGGGCGCAGAGGCGCACTCGTCCACCTCGGCCTCGCAGGTGACTCCTGGACAGGGGCCGGAGACACAGAGACCCAGAGCTGCTTACCCGAGGGGCAAAAGAGTCCAAGCCGGGCACCTGGGGCATCTCCAGTTACAAGGAGCCACCTATGAGGCTCTAAAAGGAAGCGCATTTGGCTTGTCGTCCAAGCTGCTGTGGGGAACCCAGGCAGTGGGTAGAATCAGGGAACCTCCCTGCCCTCTGGAGCTCCCAGCAGGCTGGGCCGGGAGAGCGGAACTCAGTCAATACGTTAGGACTGGCTTTCAATAGGGTTAACTCAATAAGGGAACCTGATCCTATGAAAGCAAGATCCGGGGTCTGGTCCGGGATGCGGGGAGGCAGGGAAGGCTTTTGGGAGTTGGAGGATTGAGGCAGAGGACTATGGTGAGCAGTTGGACACCAGAAAGAGACTGCAGTTAGTCACCCTGTGCTTGCGTCAGGGGCCTGATACCCAGGGAGGGTGTGCCCCAGGAGCCATGGGGAGTTATGGGTCAGGAGCTATGGGAAGAGTGGAGCAGGTGAGGCAGGAGTGGGGGTGTTGGGACCTGGGCCAGGTAACAGGCTCTGGGCTCATCCTAGAAGCTGTAAGCAGATACATGACAGTCCTATCTACATTTTAGAAGGCTCTGGTGGCTTTGAGAAAAGTGTTAGGAAGGGACCCCACAGAGGAGGGATACTGGGGAAAAAAAAAAAAAAAGGCTGGAAAGGCTGAAGTAGGGTGAACAATTTCTGCACAGTTTTTGCTGTAAAACTCCGTAGTCCCGGGAAACCGGCTCACCTGCACAAACCGGAGCAGCTGGGTGCCCTCCACCAGGTGAGGGCGGAGATGGAGAAACATGGAGAACCTTATGGTTTGGATAGTCACCCTAGGGTTCAGGGGTCACTGCAGACTCCAGTGGGAGCTGTCCCCTAAGTGAGCTTGCTCATGGGGGCCAGGGACCCAGCTGATTCCTGCTGGAACCCTCCCCTTTCCCAGCTCAGTGAGCACAAATACACCTTTTCCTTCCCATGACCCTCCAGCCCTACTCCCACCCCCGTGCCAGGGGGAGCCAGGCCCAGGCTGCCTGGAATCCCAACCTCCCCCACCCAGCTCAGAACCGGAAGAAGAAAAATGAGTCACTACAGACACTGCCCCCTCACATTCACCACTCACCCAGAAAGTTACCCAGAGCACCGCACATCTGGGTCACAGGCACCTGCTGGCACCCACACACGTACACTTTCACATGAAAGTATTCAGAGAGCCCAGACACCCGCAGATAATGGAAGATGCACAGAATTCTTTTATGGACACAAACAGAACTTCAAAGAGGAGACACACAGACAAATGTGACTCACACATCTACACAGCGAATACGTGCAGACGCTGAGACATCCAAACGGCAAGAAAGATTCAGGGAGCCAGTGTCCCAAAGCCATCTTCACCCGCGGGCCACTCTTCACTATATGCTCCTTCCCCTGGAACTCAGACCCCCCAGTCTGTCTCCCTTGCTCTGAAGTGACTTCAAAACTACCTCCTGCCCTTAAAGCCTGAACTCAGGGTTGACCTAGTTCACGTGTCTACACAGTGGACTACAGAAGGCCCGAGACTGGGCCTCACTGGAAGACCTCCTTCCCAACTTCAGGCCACTCCAAGAAGCAAAATGCTCTCACCTGGGAGCTGGGAAGGGCCTGGGGCCCCCCCACCAACACCACCATTCTGGAGGAAGGAACTATGTGTTCTCAATGTCAGCCATTTTCTGAGCACTTGTATGTACATTATCCCACTTAAGGCAGCAGGGACCCCTGGGGCCACATCTGCATCACAACTGGAACAAGACCAGGAGGGGGTCTCTATGCTAGGTCTTTGCAAGGGGTCCACATTCCATCCTAAACTGTGCAGGATGTTCTCACTCTAGGACCCTCAAGTGGTGTCTACAGGACAATTCGATACAGGTCTGGAGTGAGAAAATGCTGGCACTACTGGCCAGGGCGTCCTGTTAAAGCCAAACCGGGCAGATCTGCCTGTCTGCTCAGAGTTGCCAGAGATGCCTGAGGGGTCTCCACCCCCTAAGCCAAACTCAGCTCTGGAGAAGGGACAAAAATGTTTGTCCAATGCCCCATACAGGCCAGGCGCTGTGCCAGACCTCAAACACACAGACTCTCACCCCCAGCTGCCAGGTTGGCCTGAGAAGTGTCAATTCTGTGCTAAGTCCAGGAGTGGACACCCGGCACTGCCGGTGCCTGGGGCAGCTGTAGACTCAAGTCAGAATTGAGTCTGTGATGCTTTCCCTGCAAGCCACAGACGGGAGGAGGGACAGGGGCAGACCTCCCCGCAGGGCAGCATACACCATTACCTGCATAGCCAAGGGGGCACTGGCACTCATAGCGATCTGCCAGGTTGTGGCAGGTGGCCCCATGGTGGCAGGGCCGAGATGCACACTCATCGATGTCCAGCTCACAGTGCGGGCCCTGGAAACCAGGCACGCAGTAGCAGCGGAAGCCATTAGGATCTGGACCCTGGGGCACACACAGAGCACCATGGTGGCATGGCTGAGTGGCGCAGCCTTGAGGCTTCACAGGCCCACAGGTATAGCCACCACTCTCTGTGGCCTGGCACTGGGTCCCTGGAGCACACGGGTCTGAGGCACAGTCACCCCGGATCTCTGAAGGCACCGTCCCTGTGGAAAGAGGAGATTGGATGGGCGGGGGCTGTGCAGACGCTCCCCTCCCCGTACTCAGCCCAACCCAGACCCAGGAAGCAACACGGGCGTCCACACTCCAGAGCAGGCACGGAGGCCAGCACACCCAGAGCGCGCAGGGTCCCAAGCTGCAGTCGCTCTATTCGGGAACTGGGAATGGCTTTAGGAGTGCCTGCAGAGCAGAGAAACAGGACCAGGGTGTCTGGCTCCGGCAGGATTAAGCGGCAGACACTAACCCTGTGAGCTGCCCACCCGTCGTCTCACTGGTCCCTGCAGCCCCCTGGGCAGGGACCTGGTGCCCATGTTATGAGTGAGGCTCCAGAAAGGAAGCAAAGGCTGGCCGAGGTCACGCAGCGAGTTAGCTTCAATGTGGGGTGCTTGAGCCACAATGTGGGGGTCCCCTCTGGGCTTCCTCTCTGCAGGCTGCTCCCTACAGGAGCCCAGGAGGGGGAGGGAAGCAGCCCAGGAGAGGCAGCGCCCCGCCCCCTCCGGCCTGCTGGGGGCTGGTAACTCCGTTGGCGGAAACCTGAGCTCTGAGACCTCAAGCTGGAAGGGAGCAGCGTGGCCACTTCAAAGCAGGGGAGTGGGCTCCGCCCGCACACCCCCCCACACCCGCTGTCCGCCTGGGGAGCTCTGGAGGAGCCCTGGCCCTCTTTTCATCCCCCAACGGCAAGCCCACCTGCGCCTGCGCAGTGAACACCTGAGCCCGCCACCGCGGGGTTTCTGCACTTGGAGCCCCTCTGTTGAGGGTGGCATCCAGTTTGGAAGCCAAGCCCAGCAGAATCCAGCCCCCTCCATTCCCTCCTTCCTCCCCACTGGAAAGCCTGTCGCGAACAGGTTCTAATCCCATCTGAGAAAACTACTAGCTGTGGGACTTTGGACAAGTCATTTCTCCTACTGAGTCTGTTTCCCAGTGTGAAAAGAAACAAAATAGTACGTCCCCGGGGACGTGGGAGGTCGGAGGATTCAGAACCTCAGGTCCAGAGCCTGCTCCACCGCAGGGACTCAGCAAGTGGGGGGAAGGGCTTCTAGCAGGAGGCACCCTCCCCCACCCAGGTTGTCATCCAGACACTGGCCAGGCCCCACGGCCCATCAGGCCCTGCACCCTCCCCTCCCCCACTCCAGCCAAGACCCCCAGATAAGGCTGGCAGCCTCTGGGGCGTCATCCACATTCCAGCAGGCAGGGTTGTTCACTGCCAGACCCCCACGCTCTGCAGCAGGCCCAAGCAGGATGGGGACAGTGCAATGGAGAAACACACAGAGGCATTGGGAGACAACTGGCTGTCCAGTCCCACCCTCCAGAGCCCAGAGCACCTGGTGCAACTCAACACGGGCCCCGTTCACACTGGGGAGCCCTAGCAGCCCCCCAGGGCCAGACACGTGGCAGGGCAGATCTAAAACACTTTCAGGGGAAAAGGGGCCTTCTACCCACACTTTCCCCTTCCAGCTCAGGGCAGGGGCATCATTCCCAGCCCTTTCTCCCAGGCCTGGTCACATGTGTAAGGGCAGGGGCTCCTGGGCATCTCTGAGAGACTCGTGAATAGTTGGTCATTTTCCTGTTCCTTTTCCTTTTCCTGCTTCTGTGACCAAGCAGTTGATAGGTTCCCCAAGGCTGGATGCCTGGGGAGGGGTGATCACCTGGGGCTGGGAAGATGGTCCTGTGGGGGTGGGAGTGGACCCTGCTCCCTTAGGAAAATGCACAGGTTTTACGCATCAGACAGGCCCAGGTAGTATCCAGAGTGCCCCCAAGTGGCACCCCAAGGTGACGTGTGAAGCCCAGGCACCTGGGGACCCTCTGCAAGGGGCTATGGTCTTGATGTTCAGAGCCTGTCAGCCTGGTACAGTTCTGGAGCAGGACAGGCATCATAATTCCATTGTGAAGGACCTGGCTGCTGGATCCTGTGCCACCAGGCCCCCATTTTAATTCAAACAGGACAATACCCTCATTTTGTGACCCAGGGACTCCCCACCCTGGTCTGCAGGAGCTTGCCTCCTGGGCCAAGCGCTGCCTGTTAGGACAGTGGGGACCGCTTCCTGTTAGGACAGTGTGGACCGGTGGGTGTTTCTGACAGTCTGCCCTCCCCTAGGGTCCTCCCAGGTCAGGGACAGAGGGCTGTTACTATAAATGAGAAAGCCCTGGAGGCAGAGTCCAGCCCCAAGGGAGGAAGGAGCTTTAGTCAGAACCAGGCAGGGAAGGAGGAGGCTGCTCATCGAGACAGCCACCTCGCCTGCGCCATCTCCGTCCATCTGAGCGGCTGCGTAGGAGGTGGACAGTGCCCTTCTTCCTTTTTGCAGTTGAGGAAAGGCTGGCTCAGAGCTGACGCCACTTTCCAATCCCATAGCCACCAGGGGCTGAAATCCAAACCCAATTCTCCCTGCTCCAGGGCCTCCACTCCAGGCGGTTCAGAACCACCCAGGACCTGTATCAAGAATGCAGATTCTTGGGGCTCACTCTAGACCTAGAAATTCAGAACCAACCGGCCCACAGCCCAGAATCTGCATTGGATTCCAATCCCTGGAGATCTCTTTGCACATTGAGGAATGCCAACCCCTGTGCTCAGGGTCTCCAGCTTCCTGGAGTTAGCCCAGGAGGCCAGGCTAGCCCAGGGCAAAGAGGAAGACCAGGCTAGGCTGGGGCAGAGAGGTTGGGAGGGCAGCTTGGCAGGAGAGAGGCTGTCCCCAGGGTCAGACTGGAGGGGCGGGGCCTGTTGCCACAGCAACTAGGGGCCTGTGCTTATCTTTACAAATCCCTGCTGACCTCTGGGCTGCCTGGGCTGACCTGGCAGGGGAGGGATTAACGGCCACTGCCCCGCCCCTTGAACCTGCCACCTCCCTTGGGAAGGGCAAGGCGGACAATTCATTTACAGAGTATTTACTATGTGCTCCAGGCTGTGTATCTATTATTATTACAATGTTACACCAGAGGAGTGGGGGGGGGTACCTGTTAAGGAATCTGCTTTCCTTAACTCAAAGCAGGTTGATTAAAAAAAAAAAAAAGTTGATAAACTTGCCCAGGATCATTGTTCCTCCAAAAACTAAGATGTCTTCAGATTTCCGAGAGTCCACATCTGCCAATACATATGAAATCGCCACAAACGTATTGTCCTCTTAGTGCATTCCCACAGTCTCACCCTAGTGTGGAGAGTCTCTAAAGGTTTTTTTTTTTAATATTTTTTTAAGGTGGACACAATATCTTTATTTATTTTTATGTGGTGCTGAGGATTGAACCCAGTGCCTTGAGCATGCCAGGCCAGCGTGCTACCACTTGAGCCATATCCCCAGCCCTAAAAGTTTTTCTTAAGAACAGTGGCCCTTGGGCTGGGGATACAGCTCAGTTGGTAGAGTGCTTGCCTCTATGCACAAGGCCCTGGGTTGTTCAATCCCCAGCACCACACACAAAAAAAGAATAGTGGTCCCAGGAATGGGGTGTAGCTCAGGAACAGGACTTGCTTAGCATGCAAGAGGCCCTGTGCTTGATTCCCAATACAAAAGAGAGAGAGAGAAGGACAAAAGGAAAGAAGAGCCTCTTGGGAAGAGCCAGTACTTGGTAGCAGGCCTCACCCAGCCTAGTAACTCCCATTTTTTGCCCTCACCTGTTACAGATTGAGTTATAACCGCCATCGTGAGATGTGCTGGATAAAACTGTTCCCCTGCTATTGCTGGGCCTGGCTATGGCTATCAGAAAGGGCAAAAATACTCTAAAAAGACAGCAAAGTGTGGAATACTCTTTATCAAAAATGTTCACCTCCCAGCGTAAAAGCCATCATTCAATAAGTAATTGCAACATGGCCGTGGACGATGGAGCATTGCTCTGGGCCTGGCCTTGCACGTCCCCATGTTTCCAAACTGTGTCTCAAAGTACAGAGGGGAAGGTGCCTCCTGGAGCAAGGGGAGGTACCTGTACAGTCCACTTTGAACTACTGACCATAAACTATTATGTGTTTCTGTCTGAAACTGGGGTTCCCTGCCAAAACCAAGTTGGAAAACCACTACATTGTCCCACTGAAGTTTTGTGATGGCCCTGGGAGTGTGGTTATCCCCATCTTACAAGGGCAGAGAGAGGATGTGACTGTAAGGAGGCTTTATGTGAGCCCGCTGTGAAATCTTGGCCCTGCCACACACTAGCTGTGTGATTCTGGGCAAGTTACTGATCCTCTCTGGGCCTATTTACCTCCTCTGTGGGTCTCAGAGCTGATCTCACAGTCTGTTGGGGAGATTGGATTTGATTGTGTTGCCACGAGGCACCTGATGACTGATTGACAAACCCTAGATTGTGGCAGACCCAACTCTCCCAGGTCCTGAGGCTGGGTTGACTGTGTGTGGCTTCCCCTCCCACAATCCCTGCCTCTGTCCCTCAGGCCCCCACCTCCTCTTGTTGGAGGAGGGGCTGAAGGGTAGGGGCCAAACCCTTTGTGATGGGTCCCAGAGTGCTGGGGGGAGGGGGAGATGTGAGAGCCCTATGCCCCATTGTACTCCAAGATGCTTGGTCCTCTCCATAGCAACCAGCGGGCCTCTGTGGCAGAGTGGCCCAGGATGAAGGGGCCCAGCTTAGGGCCTGGCAGGGATGGGCAGCAGAGCCCGGGGCCAGGGCCTTCAGAAACCCCCACCTCGTCTGGGATACAAATCAGCTTCCAAGTGTCACAGTTCCCAGTGCCTCCCTCAGGTAGTCAGGTCTTGGGTACTGGCATCCAGATGGTGGTGCAGTGCCCCCACCCCAGGTTTCAGGGATCCCCAGGGCTGGGGCAGCTGACAGATGTTGCAAGGGGAGGCTGCCCCAGAAGCCCCCGTAGGGCTGTAGGGTGAGTGTGTACCTCAGGGACCTTGCCTTCTATGTCCCATCTGGTCCACCTGCCCACCTCAGGTATGTGGGTGCACATTTAAGTGTAAACGCACACGACATCAACATGCATGCATTGGTGTGTGTGTGTGCATGGCAGTGTGCTGTGCACGACCTGCTCATATGGCATGTGTGCCCTGTGCACACCCCAAAAGTGTGCACACGTGCCTAGGTACCTAGGCATCTCCTCTAGGAGCCCCAGGGAGCCCAGCTCACAAGTCTCTGTCCCTCCATGATCCTTCCTTCCCCCAAAACTGGGGTCCTCATTCACCCTGGCAGCCCCCAGGAGGGCATCAGGAACAGGGGTTCCCCTAACTGCAGAGGAGCCCAGACAGGCCCTCCTTGGCTCCCTCTCTCAGCCAGTGGTGACAGGGCTAGGGACTTCCCAGGCCTGTCCCTGTAGCTATAGTGACTAAGACAAAGCCGCCCCTAGACCCCCCAGTAGGAATTCCAGGCTCTGTGCGGGAATCCACTTGAACAAAAGCAGAAACCCCTTGGTGAACAGGGGTCCGGCTTCAGAGAGCCCTTCCAACTTGGTCTGGGAATGCCAGAGAGGGCACAACAGGGGACAAAAATGTTCCCAAATCTCCAGCCACCAGCTAAGGACCCAGAGCAGCCCGACCTCCTCCTTAAAGTGCAGGCAGGAATCCACACAAACAGAGGGAGCGCAGGACAGGCAGGGAGCCTGCTCCCTGAGGTCTCCTTCCCTCTTTCCAGCCAATTCACCAGGCTGGGGTCTGCTGCTTCCCACCAGGACCCACATGTCCCTTGCAAAGACCCACTGGACAAGTTATACCCCAGTGCAGCTCTGGCCCTCAGTTCCCCACACCCAATCACCTGGACACAGCTCATGGGACACCTGTAGCAACTCACAACTTTCACCCACAACTGCACCCGGCCCAGGACGTGACTCGAGCAGACTCTGGGGTAGGCCGTCTCCCAGCAAGTCCCCAGCCCTGCTCCACAGACCCACCTCAGCACCCTTCCCAACGGCCACAAGGCTCCAGGATCCAGTTTCCCCAGACGCACTCACACCCAACCCAACCCAGGTCCCCAGGCCACTCCTGAAAGCCCCCTCCACACGAAACAGCCCCAGGTCCCTGCAACTCCGGCCTGGCACCACGCGGAGCAGCGGCCCCCCGCCCCGCGGCAGGCCTGGGGTCCGCCTGGGGAACAGACCCCCGCCCCCGGGCCCGGCCCCACTCACCAGCCAGGAGGGCGAGCGCAGGGTCCCAGGGCGGCAGCAGCAGCAGCAGCAGCAGCAGGAGGGGGGCCAGGGGCCTGCAGTCCCGGGTCCCAGGCCCGGCCAGCGCCATGGCAGCGCCGCTCTGCCCGCCGCTGTGGGAGCCGGCGGCCGGCAGCTCGGCACCCCCCGGGTCCCTGGAGCAGCACTAATGCGGTGGACAGAGGCCCGGCCCCGCCCCGCCCCGCCCCGCCCGGCCCGGGGGAGGGTCTGGCCGCTCCTTCCACGCCAGCCCCAGCCGCAGGAGCAGAGCGTCCGCGGCCCAGGCCCTGACCTTGTCTCCAGGCACCACTCTCCCGAGGGGCCCTCTTCTCTCCAGGTGGTGCCAGCCACTCCCAAGCCCTCGGCGGACAGCGGCCCCAGCCCTCCCACTTGGCTTGATCCCCCACCGGGCCCAGGCGCCTCTCCTACTTTCAGTCACCGGCCAGCTCCAGGCCGGCCATCCCCTCAATGTCTCTAGAGCCCCTTTCCACTCCCTCTGCCCCAACCTGCCACCCAGCCCCTCTCCCTGCGGCCCTGTGGGATCAAATCTAGCACAGAGCCCTGCACCATGTGGCCCCCTTTTACGAGCCAAATGGAAACTTTTCCATCTCTTCGTTTGGTCTTGATCTTGCCTCTCTGTTTGCCACTCCAGAAACCTCACTGCAACCCAAGGCAGCTCATTCTACTGACTGACAGCTTTAAGCAAACTTTCCTTTGCCCCTGCTAGGCAAGCGCTCTAGCACTAAGTCACCTCCCCGGCCCCTGGGAAGTCCTTCCTGTCGTCTAACCTCACAGTCTCTAGCTGCAGCAGATGTTTGCTTGTTCCAGGCTGGCCTCTAGACTGGAGAAGGGAATGTTGTTTGCATGCAGAGGGGTTCTTATGGGGACCTGGGTCCAAGAATCCAGGTCATCTCAAAGACACTACAACACAAAGCATCCCACTGCCCTCAGCTCCAGCCTAGGGAAAATCCCCTTGCTTAAGGGACTTTCCTGAAATGAGCCTCTGGTGTCTGCCAAGGCATCCCGGGCTGGCCCAGTTCAGTAGCCGGCCCTGGACTCTGAGTTAGAGGCAGCGCTATGGAGGGTTCCAGGATGTTTAGAGGGATGGGTGAGGGTGTGCAGGGGGGGAGCCGCCTTCATGCTGTTTCCAACTCAGAAGGGCCAATACCCCTGGTCCCCGGGGCCTCGGAGAGGGGACTAAAGCCTAGGTGGCCCTAGTCCACCTATTCCGTGCCGTCCTTATTCTCTTCTGCTCCCCAGGGTGGGTGCTCCGTGGTTTCCGCGCACCCGCTTCACCTTTAACCACCCCCCAGCTCTCTCCTGCACCAGGATCCCCTCCTGCCCGCGTGACGCCCCTCTCCTCCAGGGCACAGACCACTAGGGATCCGCGTTTGAGCCCAGGGGCGTCAGCTCAGCACGTGGCTTCCTTGTCGGGCCTAAAACGCGGGGAACAGCAGCGCCCCCCGGCGAGAGTTTAAAGGGCCGACAGGGCAGCGACTCGGGGTTCCCAGAGACCCAGACGGGCCCAAGGGGAGCAGATAGGAGGACCACAGCCCCGGGGTCTCTGGACACCAACACCCTGGCGTTGACCTGGAGCTCGGAGATCAGCTGGGCGCTGGGTCCCCGCGCCTGTCCCCGTCCCGCCCCCAGCGCTGGATCTGCGGCCGCCATGCGCCACCCTGTGGCCAAATCAGGGAGCGTCCTGCGCGGGCTGCGGGACACCTAGGGTCCGACCGCATCTGGAAAAGGCGGCGCCGAGGTCCCGCGGGCAGATGGCCTCGCACCTCCCGAGTCCGAACGCGGAGAAGGCAGAGTGGGCGGGGCCTTTGGGGACGGGCCCTCGGGAGGGTCCACTCCCCACCTGCTCGGAATCTCTCGGCATCAGTGGGGCGGGATTGGAACTCGGGTCGCCTTCTAGAGACTCTGACTCCCGCCACCTCAGGGGTCGGGAGACACCACTGCGGGGCAGGTTCTTGTGCGTCTGATTTTCCCTTCTGAACCTTAGTCCCCCTGCCCGTGAGGGGAATGACAGCAATGTCCACCTTCGAGTGTTTGGAGAAGTGGCTGCGGCTGCCAGGGCCCACTGGCGGAGGGAACGTGGCCAGCCTCAGCTGCTCCCCGCCATGGAGTCACCGGAGACCCTAGCAGCACCAAGCTCCTACCAGGCCCGCGCCTCCCTTCTCACAGCCCAGCCGGTTCCCACCCATCCCCTGCCACCGCGCCCTGCAGACCCCGGAGGCTGAATCACAGCTGGCTGCCTGCTTCTGGCTTCCAGGAGGTGGGCCAAAAGCAAGCAGGAGGAGGGAGGAGGAAAGGGGAGAAAGAAGTGGGGGTGGGGAGGAGGGAGGGTTCTGGGAACCTCCATTCTCTCCCTGAATTGGGGTCTGGGGTGAGATTCTGGCTCCAGCTCCAGCGAAGGCCCCTGGGTGGCTTCAGCTCTCACAGGCTCTGCCACACTGCTCCCTTGCCAGACGGCTATCCCAGTGCTCTCCACAGCCATCTCCCACCCCCTGGGAACTCTCCTGGTTCCCTTCCTGCCTTCAGGTCGTTCACTCTTGTCCTCCCAGAATGCAGGGTGTGCCAAGGTCTGCTCCAGCCCCCTGCACTCTTACACCACCGGTCCCGTAGGTGGACCAGGGCAGATCTCAGGGGCCAGCCCTCCACTGCCTCACAGTCCCACCGCTTAATAACAAATCTCTTGTATCACCCTTTATGACCTGGAAATGCAAAAATGAAATGCATATGCACATAAATTCCAAAGAAAATCATTGTGATGCTGGACCTGAAATACCAGAGGGAGCCAATAAGGCTACTGGTGAGACCAATGGACTCCAGTTCAAATCCTCCACCTCCCAGCTGTGTGACCTTGGGCAAGTTGCTTGACCTCTGTGAACCTCAGGTAGCTTACAAGTAAAACGGCTAAAAATGCCACTTTACTGTATAGATTATTTTGAGACTTAAATGAATAACTATTCACAAATCACTTAGAACAGGGTCTGGCCGGTGTTAAACATTAAATGAGTGTTGGTTAAATTAACCCATAGGAAAATAATTTAACACGTGAATTTCAAAGTAGAGATTCAAAGTTGGATATGGTGGTGCGTGCCTGTAATCCCAGATCCTAGGGAGGCTGAGGCAGGAGGATCGCAAGTTCAAGACCAGCCTGGACAATTTAGCAAGACACTGTCTTAAAACAAAAATGATGAGCTGGGGTATCCCTCGGTAGTTGAAAGCCCTGGGCTCAATCCCCAGTATTGAAAAAAAAAAAATCTGAATCTGCTTGTGGAGGACAGGACAGAATAGTGAGAAGTTTGTGCCCATAGAACCCAGATGAGTGTGAGAGCCCCGCAGACTCAGGCCATCCAGACCCGTTGGCGGCTCTAGCTCAACAAACGCATTGGAAGCAGGTATGCAATTTTCTGAAATGGTGACAACTTGGTGAGGCTCTGAACATGATAAGGAGCAATCTTACGTGGCAGCTATATTTCTGGGAAATTCAGTGCATGTTAACAATTGTGTAAACTGCTATCTGTTCCACGCCTGCCAGACCCCGGGGCTCTAGGCAGTGACCATGGCAAATACATGTTTCCCTCTGTATCACTGTAGGACAGGACACTCAAGTCAAGTGGCAGGTGGGACAGCTCTTCAAGGTGTGCACCGTCCTACAAATCCCAGGACATCCCGTGTCTGGGGCCACACCCACTAACTTCCAGGGGTGCCCCCACTTGAAATCACCCTCAAATTCCTCAAACAGACCTCCAGCTGCCAGAGGGATTTTGCCAAGGGTCCCAATTCCTGAGTCCACTACCCAGAGTCCTCCATAAGCCAGCTCCCTTTGCCTCCCCACAAACGCAGAACCGTCCCAGCGGTACCCCCGGGACCCCCACGTCCACTCTACAGGCTCCTCCTCCCCAATGAACACCGCCCTCTCCAGGTGACTCTGGGGGCCGCTCGGAAGCCCCACCCACCACCTGGTGGAATACCTGCCGACCCCAGGCTGATCCTTAAGACTCAGTTCTGGTCCCCACCCCACCCCTTCTGGCCTTCCCTCAAAGACCCCAGCACTGACCCCAGCCCTAGACCCCAGCCCTAGTCAGCAGCAAGGCCATCTGTACCCATCCTGAGTCAGAATCGCAGAGCCCTTGTCCTGGGGAAGCTCGCGCCTAGCGGAAGCTTGGGACCCAGTCGGGAAGGTGCTGGCGCAGAGCCTGCTGGGACCCGAGGACCGAGAAACCCGCCGCCAGAGGGCAGCATCCAGGGGAGCGGGGACCCCGGAGCGGAGAGCAGGCGGCAGGCACACCTGGCTGACACCCAGGGGCGGGCAAAGGTCCGAGGTGAGACCCCGGGGCTCGGGCAGCTCAGAGTGATTAAGCCGAGGCTGGTGGCCGCAGGGGACAGTTGGTGCAGAGCTTGTAAGGTACCGGGGAGGCTGCACTTTGTCCTGGGAGGAATGCGGAGCCATGGCAGAGATTAAAGAAAGGGAGGGACGTGGCCAGGTCTGCACGTGGCAGAGTTCCCCTGGAGAAGACGTGGAAGATGTGCAGCCCGAGAGCAAGAAGAGAATGGTCCCAGGAAAAGTCTGGATTCGGGTTGGGGTGGGAGCAGGACGGGAGTTGAGCCGCGGAAACAAGAGAGCTTGGTTTCCGCCGAGGCTGAGAGGACGGAGAAGGCCCGAGCGCAGCCCGGATCTCAGCCTAGTGGACCGTCCGGGATGCGGGAGGACGCGGCTGGCTGGATGGCTTGCGGAGGGCCCCCAGGACCTACCCAATCCGCCCCTGGCAGAAGGACCGGCTGCAGGCCCCTCTGGGGACACTAGAGGGAGCTCCAGGACAGATTCAAGCTCCACTCTGCCTCAGTCACCCCGCCACCCCTCCCTGAGGAGAACAGGACCCACCCCATGCTCAGATCCAGGCTCGGTGTCCTGCTGGGGCCTGGTTGACCTCTAGTGGCTCCAAGGTCTCAGGGCCACCTTACCACCTGATATGCATTGGGGAGGGGTCTTGGGGTGTGGACTGGCGGGGCACAGGTAGAGGGCTGCAGGTGAGAAGTGCTATAGCTTTTCCTAGGGAGGAGGGCGTGACTCCCTAGGTCACATCACTGTCTGGCAGAGCTGATCCCAGCCAGAACTGCTGCCCCAGCTGGGGAGGAAGGGACAGAATGGGCTCTCAAACTGCAGGAAGGTCAAGGGCCTTCCTGACCCTTCCCGGAAAACCTAGGTGAGAGGAGTGTCCCATGAGCCACCTCCACACACCCTGAGGAATGCTCTAGGAATGTTCTAGGTCCTGGTGTGGTGGTGGTTTGGGGAATGGGGCCGTGTGTATACAGCTGCTGGGTCTGCATGGTGCTCTGTATGTCCTGGAGGTGCTCCAGCTCAGTGGGAGGCTGAGGCCCCTGCCTGTGGAGCTCAGCCTCTCCTCTGTTTGGGGTCAAAGCTGGCGGGATGGGATTGGGACTTCAGCTGGGGCTGCAGCCAGGGCTGTCTGAGCGCAGGATCATGAATCAGTCTCTCCCTAGGATCAGGGTTCAGGCTGGTGTCCTGCCTAAACTGAGCCTGGCTCCTGGTGAAGGTGCTGCTGAGGTCTCCCTGTGGGAGTCGGGTCTTCACTGCTGCAGGAGCCAAGGCACCCACACATCACTCACCCAGCAGGAGGGCCAACAGGCACGGGAGGGGCTGGGGTTCCAAGGAAGAACCTGCTTCCCCCAGGGCCGGCCGGCTCAGTCCCGAAGGGAAGCAGACATTGAGCAGTGAATTGCAGGGGATCCAGATCCAGCCATGGATGCCCCCCTCCCCCGCATTCCAGGCAGAGTTTGCATCCCAGGCCAGGGAGGAGGGAGGCGGAGGCTGGCTCAGCATCCAGGAATGGGACATGTGCCTGAGCACAGAGCTATAACGTGGCTCCCAGGCAGTTGGAGAGAAGGGGGACCTCTGGAGGTCCCGATGTGTCAGGGAGTGGGGTGAGCCTCGGGAGACCTCCTGCGGGCCCGTGGCAGAGTGGAGCAGTTTGACAGTCCAGCGGAGGAGGGAGGAGTGGCGGGAGACCAATTTTTTGGAAAAGTGATTGAAGTCTCTGCCTGAGTCTAAATGGCACACTCTTAAAATTTTATGAAAACAAAAAATGAGTAACAAATGGAGACTGGGAAATAGGAACCCCTTTCCTATTAAACCAGATGGGAAGAGCAGGCCCAGGCCCAGCTAGGCCAAGAGGACTTGACTAACCAGAAGGCCCACAGCGCTGCTGAAAGCCGACTCCCAGCTGACCTGAGCCCCCCGGATCTGAGGCCCCCTTGGACGCCAGTTCCCATTGCCCAGGAGGAAAACTGAGGCTCAGGGAGTGACAGGGAAGGACCCAGGGTCACCTGGCAAAGCTGGAACTGGAAAAAGGAGTCCTGACTGCCCAGTGTGGCCTCTGTCTGCACAGTCCCTGCAGGTCCACCGCCACACACTCACCAGACACGCACACAGACGCACGCACGAGCTCGTGGGTGCACGCAGCAGACCCCACAGCCCCAGTGCACGTGGTCTGAGCAGAGCAGCCCCAGTCCGTGCCTGCACTGGGCACTGTGGCCCCGGTCAGCAAGAGGGTCCTGCAGCGGGAGCCCAGCCTTGCCTCTGTGGGGGGATCCCAGACCACCCAGTGCTGCCCCCTGTGCCAGGCCACGGCCACTGGAGCCCAGGAGGAGCCAGGGTTGGTTGGTTCCTAGCGTGCGCCCAGGCAGCTCACAGGGGCCAGCTGCCACTGTCCTCGCTCCCCAGGGGTGTGTGTGTGTGTGTGTGTGTGTGTGTGTGTGTGTGTTGCTGAGGAGCAGGGCAGTAGTGTAGGGCCCACATCAAGACAGAAGGCGAGGGTTCCACGGCTCAGTGGTTCCGGGCGCCCGTCCTCTGCTGTCTAATAAGGACCTTTTGTGAATCAGACAAAACAAGACACAGCCTCTGCCCTCTGGAAGTGCAGTCCCGGGTTGAGCTGTCACCGTACACACGTGACTGTGGCTGGAGGCCTCAGAGAGGCAGCTTCCTTTCTGGCTGTGGGATGGTGACTGATTCATGGCCTTCTCTGAGCCTCAGTTTCCTCATCTGGAAAGAGGGGCCATCCTCTCCCCAACCACCGGTTGGATTTGCTTTTAGGATTACATACGATGCTGGATGTGCAATGTTTGGGGAAGAAAAGGGAACATGTGAGTTAGATCAGAGTCAGGCTTCAATGTTCCTGATGCTCGGAGGCCCGTGGTAGAGGGGTGTGGATGAGTTCACAGGCCTCGTCAGAGAGGCCTGGCTGGGTTTAAATTCCTGCTGTGCCAGGCTAGCTGTTGGAGATGGAGCAGGCTATTGAAGCTCTCTGGGCCTCTGTCTTCGAGTCTGTAATAGGGACATAATAATAACACACGTTACATGGGATGTGCTGCAGGATAGTGTATGTAAAGCTTTTAACTGGGCCTGCCACAAAGTACATGCTCAGTTTAGTCAGTTCCTACTATTATTTCTAAGTTTTCAGTTATTCATTCAATGAATGCTTACTGAGCATTTACTATGAGCCAGGCACAATTCTAGGCACTCTCCAAATTCTCTCAATCCTTCTAACGACTCTATTATTATCCCCATTTTACAACCATATAAACTGAGGCACAGTGAGGTCCAGTCACTTATTCCAGATCACACAGCTGGTAGGAATTGGAACCTAGGTCTGTTGGCCTCTTTAAATCCAGCTTTGAGTCATGTACTTCCCCTTTATAGTTCAAAGTCCTCCCCTCTCCCCAGCAGCAGCCCCTGTTAAATAAATCATTCAGTAACGGTTTCTAATTCCCAGACTTGGTTGCAAATGAATTATTCACATTGTAAGGCCTGCAAACCGCAAACTGGGCCTCATTACCCAAGAAGGCCGCCTGCCCACAAGATGCCGCTCCCTCCCCTGGGCTCCGGTCCTGGCGGGCCAGTCAGAAGTTGCCAGAGTTGGCGGGCAGGCGCCGGGGGCCCAGTGCCTGAGCCCTGCTCCGGGAACTGAGAGGAGGGGTTTCCCTCCCCATTTCCCAGCCTTTGCTTTCTAACAAGCTCCTAGTCTTAGGTTAAGAGAAGACCTGGGTTCTAGTCCCAGCTCTGCCCTGAGCAGCTGCATGACCTCAAGCAGGTGGCTTACCCTCTCTGAGCCTCCAAGGGAGGCTAAGCTTGCCCTCATTGGGGCACAGGGTCCCACTTGACACATTCTCTTCTATCTGTGGGCTGAGGCTGGTGCCACCTGGCCAGGCCCTGTCCTGGATGCTGAGGACAAACTTCTGTCCAGCATGTGAATGAAACTGTGGCCTGAGCCAGAGCCCAGGCCCATCCTAGAGGGTGCTGTCTCCAGAGATCCTCTTCAGGGCACAGCTGCTGCCATTGTTGACTGCTGGTTCCTCCTGGGGTTGTGCCCTACTGCCTGGGGCAACCCTTGGCCAGGGACTGACCAGTGTCGGGTGCTACAGACACCTGCCTCCACTGGAACGATTCTGAAGGACCAGCCACTCCCAGGATCCCCGCAGGGGCCTCTGTTGCGCTGCATCTCCCCACTCCTTCCCGGTGGATCTGCTGCGGGCACAGCCCAGGAAGCCTGTGTGCAAGTCTCCGGCTCAGAGGCTGTTTCCAGGAACCACCCTCGTCACACACAGGGCCAGTCCTGGCACTCAATGAGACCCGATCCAAATCACCAGCAGATTCCCAACTCCCAGGCCGACTGAGCCTAGTTTCTGCCTCAGCCAGGCTCAGATCCCAGTCCCAGGTTGAGCCCTGACGTCAGTCACAGGCTGAATCCAGATGCTAACTGATCCCTAATCTTATCGCAGACTAAGCCCTGATCTCGATCCCAGGCTGATCTCCAGTCCTGTTCCAGGTTCTGATCCTGATCAGATTGAGCCCGGCATTCACAGAAAGCAGGGGACCTATGGAGACCCATGGAGACGGGACCGAGGGTGGTAAGTGGGAGACAGGAGGAGCCTGGAGTCCAGCTTAGACTGAGAACAGAACCAGACTAACAGCCCGCCAGCCAGAAGACCAGAGGCCTACAACTTCAGTTCACAGAGAGGCCTTCTCCAAAAACACCCAAACGGCTTTCCTCTTGGTGGAAGAACCAAAATCTGAACCAAGGATGGTAAGAAGGATCCTCAGAGCTGCCATTCTGGAGCAGGGTGGGTGTCCCATGCACCAAGCCCCCATGGTATCCCTCTGGGTCCCCAGTGCCTCTCAGAATAATCCTCTGGATTTAATTATTTCCCATTTTACAGAAAAGAGAGCTGAGGCTTGAGAAGCAAATGACCTGCCTCTTGCCTCGATCGTGGGAGAATCAGCACTCGGGCCCTTGACCTCCCTGTACTTTGGTGGGGTCTAGGTGCAGGCGGTTACAGTCTCCTGAAGAGAGGCCTGGGGCTTGCAGTCCCTCTGCCACCCGACATAGGTGTTGGCTAAGTCCTGAGCCTGCCTAGGGCAGGAGAGGAGCCAGGGAAGAGCAAAGGTTGGTCCCTGAGACTGTTGATGTGGCTAGTTCTGGCCCCAGCCCCAGGCAGGGCCTCCCACTCATATAAAGTGGTTCCATCCCCTTCTCCCCCGGCAGGCGCTGGCTAGCATGGCAGGTGAGGAAACTGAGGTCCAGAAGGGGGATCCCACTTGTCGGGCTCACAGAGCTGAGACCTGCCCCCACAAACCCCGATGCTCGGCCTCCCCCCTGTGTTCCTTCACCTGCACAGGAGAATGAAGGCCGTCCATCATCCCTCATCCATCCATCATCCACCCATCCGCCCCCCGGCCAGCAGACGGTCTGTAGCATCCTCCATGTGCCAGGTCTGGGCGGATTCCGCAGGCGAGTGGAGACCTGAGGCAGAGCCCGTGGACTCTCAGGGGACCCACAGATTAAACAAACATGCCGCAGAAAGAGACGCATCGCTGAGTGCAGGGAGAGCCGCCCAGGGTGGAACGAGCCTCTCCCTCTCGGGGTGCTCTCGGCCCCAGGGAGCTGCGGGCAGAAACCCTGCAGAGACAGCGCCCAGGACTTGGCCTCAGGGGACAGGGGCTTCGAGAAAAGCAGGAGTACTCCCCCAGGGAGTCAGGCAGCTTGGTGAGCTGCAGCCAGGCCACCTGACCGCTGGACCGCTGGACCACTGTGAGGAGAAGCCCTCCAGGGGGCCTTGTCTGCAGCAGGAGGGGAGAGAGGGAGAGACGGTGTGCGTGTGGGGTCTTTGGCAAGCCTGCCCCTGGATTCACTTTGTGAGCCATCCAGCTGGTGCCGGAAGCCTCCAGGAACCGCATGGGAGCTTGAGGAGAAATAATGAGAGTGGTTATTTCAGGAGGAGGAACAGCGTGAGCAGACGGGTGGAGGTGGGGAACAGCAGGCAGACCCAGGAAGGCGGAGCGAGGAGACAAAACAGAGGAGAGCCCCGAGTCCAGCCCGTGGGGACATCACGGTACCCTGGGGAGGCTCTGCTCCCACCACACACCAGTGTGGATATCTGCTGCCCCTCACAAGCTGACTGTGTGCCCAGAGAGGCTCACGTGTGTGCCCTCGATCCAGGAAGAGCATTACTGTTAGAGCCCATTTTATGGACAGGAAAATTGAGGTCAGGAGAAGTTAGAATCTGCCTCCCAGGAAGGTGTGAAGTGAAGGATACAGCCCCATGGCCTCGGCCACACTGCCCACCCCCTTCACTCCCCTGCGTGCCCACAAGACAGCCAGAGGAGATCTGCACAGGCGTCAGCAAGTCCTGTGCAGCTCCACCTGTGTCTCTCTCCCACTAAACCCAGAGCTCATTTGCCTCTGTCATCCCGGGCTCTGGCACAGGCCCTAAATCGGTGCTGAGGACATCTTGGGGGTAAACCATCAACATGGGGCCCCTGTGTGGTTGATACTGCCTTATTCCCATTGCACAGGTGGGAAAATGGAGTCCCAGAGAGCAACGGGGGAGCTGTAATTCACCAGGCTGTGAGCATCTAAATCAATGAACTAATTAATGAGTAAACGAGCGTGAGTAATGACGAATGGCTGACCTAGTGGGTGGGAGGGGAGGCCATTGGAGGAGTGAGAGACTGCAGGGGCACAGCGGGTGACCGGGAGAGTGAGGTCCTCCTTCCTCCCCTCCTTACCTTGGTCCACCTCCAGCTTCCAGGAAAAAGGCCCCTTTGCTCTCCTCTCGGGGAGAATTCCAGATTCTCTGCCAGGCTGTTGCCTAGCAACAGTGCCCTGCCTGGCCAGCCCCGCCCTCTCAGACGTCCAGGGCCGGGGTGCGCAGCCAACCCCGGGGCCTGGCCACTGGCAGGCAGGGAACGGGGGACCCGGGCTCCCAAGCTGAGGACAAGGATGTCAGAGATCGGGGAGCAGGCCGGGTGGGCTCTGAGGCCGGGGAAGGACCCCCAAGGAAAGACCACGTGGAGCAGCCGTGACTCTGGCCTGGGTCCCGGAACAGGGAGGGCGGATGCAGGATCCCACAGGCCTCGAGTCTGAAGTCCTGGGTTGGAGTGGACCTTGGAGCAGTCACTTCCCTTCCCGGACCTGCTTCCTCATCTGCAGGAGGGAGACACGGTGCCACTCGCCAAGGGCCGGCGTGAGGAGGGAAGGCGCGCAGCGGGCTTGGAGCAAGCAGGCTGCTTTCAAAAGCAACCAGAAGCCCTGGGTCTGCAGGGCCCCTGAGGAGCAGCCCCTGAAGGACTTCTCCAGGTGGAAATGGGGTGGGGAGAGGGGCAATTCCTGGCGGAGGGAACAGCGAAGGCTGGAAGCCTGAAGCTGAAGTGCATCTCATAATAGCTCATGTTCGCCAATGGCCAGGCACATTTGCATTGAACCCTCACCGCCGGCCACGAGGCTGGAACGCGTGGTGCTCCCATTTTGCAGGAAAGGGAGTGTGGGCTCAGAGACCAGAAGGGGTACTGGAGGCCACACAGCAGGTGAACCAACTCCAGCTGCCTCTCCCCTGAATTCCTCACCTAGGGGGAGCAAGAGCGAGAAGTGTGGCCACACCGTGTGCAGGGACCCCTTGTGTGCGACTGGAAGCACAGTGAATTTCGAAATCTGGGCAGGGGCAGTGGGGAGCCATTGATGGTTTCTGAGCTGGGAGAGGATGCCCCAGGCCAGGTCCTCAGGTCCCTCGGTGCTGCCCCGGGCCATCTGTCTCCACCTCCTACACTCTGCCACTCTTTGCATCCATGTCCCCCACCCTCCGCCCCCACTGCCTCTCAGCCACTGTGAGGAACCATGTGTGACGGTGGAGAATGTAAAAATATACGGAAAACAACAACGGCGACTGCACCCGGCTATAAATACCCTGACAGCGGAAGCGCTCCCCCAGCCCCCTTCCTGCTGCCTGAGGAGCGGGGGCTTGGTGTTGGGCAGGTGGAGAGGGGGACTCAGGAAGGGAGGAAGGAACGGGAATGACCACTTGCAGACCTACTTTGTGCCAAGCACTTTGCAAGCCTACGTCACCGAGTCCTCACGAAACCCTGACAGTGACTCACTCCTGATCCCCTCTTTACAGATAAGGAAACTGAAGCACGAGAAGTAGGTCATCTGGCCAAGGCCACTCAGTCAACGGCCTGGGAGGGAGCAGGGCAGCTGGAGCTCCTGCAAGCTCCGCCTGGCGGGA